GATACGGTCAAAATTTGGTCAATATCAACTTGACGTATTTCTTTCAATTTTGCATTTAAAAAACCTGAACACCCCTCATTTTGAAGGTGTGTGTGTGTAGAATGTTGCTCCTATTTTGATTTTGGAATTCACTCTTCAGTTGTCAAAATGCCGTCCAGAGCAGCGTATCAAAATTTTGCTCGCGCATCGTGAAAATCCGAGCTACTCGCACGCAAAGTTGGCAAAATCGCTAAAAGTTGCCAAATCAACCGTTACAAATGTAATTAAAGTGTTTGGGGAACGTTTGTCGACAGCCAGGAAGTCTGGATCGGGGTGGTTGCCGGTAGTTTCAAGCGAAACCCTAACCTCTCTCTCCGAGATGCCGCAAATAAGCTGGGTGTATCGTCTACAACCGTGCATCGAGCCAAAAAACGAGCCGGACTATCGACTTACAAGAAGGTAGTGACTCCAAATCGCGATGATAAACAAAATACGACGGCCAAAGCGCGATCCCGGAGGCTGTACACGACGATGCTGACGAAGTTTGACTGCGTGGTAATGGACGACGAAACCTACGTCAAAGCCGACTACAAGCAGCTTCCGGGACAGGAGTTTTATACGGCAAAAGGAAGGGGAAAGGTAGCAGATGTTTTCAAGCACATGAAACTGTCAAAGTTCGCAAAGAAATATCTGGTTTGGCAAGCCATCTGTACCTGTGGCTTGAAAAGCAGCATTTTCATAGCTTCCGGGACTGTCAACCAAGAAATTTACGTGAAAGAGTGTTTGAATAAACGTCTGCTGCCTTTCCTGAAGAAACACGGTTGTTCCGTACTGTTTTGGCCGGATTTGGCATCTTGCCATTACGGTAAAAAGGCCATGGAGTGGTACGCCGCCAACAACGTGCAGGTGGTTCCCAAGGACAAGAACCCTCCCAACACGCCAGAGTTCCGCCCAATTGAGAAATACTGGGCTATTGTCAAGTGGAACCTAAAGAAGACCAAAAAAACTGCTAAGGGCGAGCAGCAGTTCAAGGCAAACTGGCTTTCTGCGGCGAAGAAGGTGGACAAGGTGGCTGTACAAAATCTGATGGCAGGGGTCAAGCGTAAGGCCCGGAAATTCGGATTTGGAAAAGCGGAAGCCTAACTGAATATTTTTCCTGAATTTTATACTAATTGAACTTGAAAAAGAAATTTAATTTGATTTTTTAAGTAAACGATTTCACCGATTTACACGCGTTTTCCCTTGACCAAATTTTGACCGTATCACCCTTTAGTCTATTTGCTAGTGTGCTAGTAGTCTATCTAGAAATTATATAATCTGGGCATATTTTGAAGATAACGGACTTGAATGTCGAAATCACGGAGTTGAAAAAAAATCATTAGTGATTCAGTAAACACCAATTGGACAGTTAGAATTCCCATCTGTTCGCAACTCTTGTTGCCAGACTTTACACAGAGTTAATTTTCATTGACTTTTTCGCTTGCCTGGCTGCCAACCACATCACCCCCAAAGTTCTTTGATAATGTACCCAGCAACCAAGCGTTTGTGGTCAAATGCGTAACAGTATTGACCTTGTATTGACATGACCTTGTTAATTAACCAGAAACACTTCCAATTAAGGTAAGGTTTTCTCCAGGACGCTAGAAATCAAATTTATATGATTTAGAAATTCCTTCTTTGAATTTTCGGTTTTTTAATTGTCTTTTGAATAAACCAAAAATTCCGAGCACGAAAATGCGTAATTTTGTTCTCAGAAAACGAGGCGTTTCCGTGATGGGAAAAAGTGGTTTCCCTAACACAGTCGCCGAATATTGATACCGAGCGCGTAATCATATGTCAAATCTACGGTCGTGTATTGGGCACAACCTCTTACTTTTTTAATTAACTGAGTAGGTTAGATGAGATCTATTCATAATTAGAAGAATCTAGAAACACAAATCCACTCAAACAATTGTAAATGATTTGTGAATACTATTATTAATCTTTATAATAAGAATCAGAAACTTTTTTTATTTAACCATTCGTCTGTGCCAAACAAAAATAACGTTGTCTGTACCATGGGGCCAATTTGACCATAAATTCAAATTGTCATATCTCAGCGAAGGTTCAACGGATTTTTGAAATTTCAAATGGTAAAATGCCAACGTAAATTTAATTTACTTTCAGTTTAAACTATCAAAGTTTATTTTAGAAGGCGGATCGCTCATAGTTAGGATAGGATGTTTCTTCCTTCTGCAAAGATATTCCGAAAAACCGAGGGGGACGACTCTATCTACGATGCATAAAAGATTGTGTTTTGCTGTAGCTACCTGTGCGCACGGGGAGTAGATAGAAAGAAGATTGATGACGATTCTGAAGATTTCCTGCAAAAACTTGATGAGCGATGCAAGTAGATGTGACAAATGAAAGAAGATTGTTCGAAGATTGATTCGCTAGTGTGAGATTTGTTGAGCATCTAAACTTGAGATTTAGATGTGTCGCCCCCCTCGCGAAAAACAAGGTCTCCAAAACTATGGATAGTTTACTCACTAGAGGCTGCTAAAACGAAAATGATCAAGTTGCGCCATCTTATACACACATTACATAACGCTGTCTACAGATCCTGCTCATATGAATGATTTCCGTTTTCAGCAAATTTGTTCAGATGGACAAGACCTATCTTAAGGAAAAGAGTTTAGGTCAGAATTCACTCACCAGGCGGCGCTAGTGTGAGATTCATTTTGAATTGTTTGCCCTGAGTGAGCTGAGGTGACTCGCTGTCACTAGTGAGGTGACTTTTCATTTGATTTGCACGGCGAGTCACCTCACACGCTATGTCTGAAGGCACTTTTTTTGCAATATTCATGTACCTCAGTTTTTTCTTCACAGGATGTTAGTATTGATCCTAACAATCAACTCTGTGATGGTTTGAAAATATTTCATCTTGGGTTTTTTTGAGAAATGGTGTTTTGAAGTTTACAAAGCCGATAACGAAGGCGTATATTGGACTATTGACGATACAAAACTATTGTGAATTGAACAAATGCTGTTGAATCAGGTTCAAAAGTTGATTGAATTAATCCAAATGGCATTGATTCTCAAGCAAGATGCGTATTGATTACGTCGACTTTGCGCAAAATCAATTAATATTTGTTGCTAGAACAACTTCTTGTTTAATGTCTCTTCCCTCATAAGAGTAAAAGAGAAATAAAGAGCAGGACAGTCCAATACAGCCACGTAATCATAGTAGGCATTGAATTTCTGCCTGTTTCGAGTGTTTTTTGAATCTCTCGAAGAAAATAGAGAGTTCGCTTGTTGTGTTTCGAAAAGCGATCGTCAAAAAAAAAAAAAACAAAATCACGCCACTTTAGTAGCGACGTTTGCTGAAAGATTTTTATCAGAGTTCAATAAAAGAGTTAGTAGGTATCTGAAATGTTTGTGTCCCGTACTCAGCTGATGACGAAGGTGGCATTTACAACCCTGGGGGATAGATAATTAGTTTGGATTTTTGGAATCCATGACGAAGTTGTTTGAAAATCGGTTAACAGATAATGCCGATAATACAGGAATGAAACTCACATGATATTAGCTGCTCTTGCCCAGTGAGTTTAGGTAGCCTTCACCTTTAACTACTACAGAATTGCTAGAGTTTCATTGCAGTTCCCATATTTTGTCTAAGGAAACTTTCAGGAAGGCTATGCGACTTTTTAGGAAATTCTGCGAACTATAGGGAACTGTAGTTCCTCAAAAGAATCAGAGAAGTTTAACAACCTTCAGAGAAGTTCATTGATCTCAGTTCAGGAAAATTCTTCAAACTTTAAAGATGTGCTTCGATCTTCAGAGAAGCTCTATAAACCTCAGGAAAATTCTGCCAACTTCAGGGACGTTTTGTGAGCTTCAGAGGAGTTCAATGTCCTTCTGATAAGTTCTACGTCTCACAAGACTCAGAGACGTTCTGAGAACTTAAAAAAAGTTCTAAGACCATCAGAAAAAATTGAAGAATTTCATCGAAGTTCAACGCAATCAAGGAAAAACCAAATGGACAGGGGTATTAATTTGAATGTATTTAACTTCTATAAGCTGTCTCATCGGGTCGTTGGTGGAACAACTCTCACTCCATGTCTTAGAAAGCAGGTATGATAGAGAGAATTTGTTGCGATATCTCTTTCTCTTTTACACTTCCTTTATGAAATGTGATTAACGGCATGAGCAGGGTGGCAGCAGGGGCGGGATGTGCTGTCAAATCGGCCTACTGAAAGTCCTTCAAAGAGATGTAAATATGGTAAAAAATCTCTCACGAAGATTTACTCAGCTTTAAGAAAGATCTTAATCTGAGTGTTAATATGGTCAGTATGTACATAACTTTACACTATATTTGTATTATGTTACATACGCTAAAATTGGCTCAACGTATGAGACATACCGACCGTCAAACTATCCAACCCGGTCTCAAATCAGCTATGACGAAAGACAACGCAACCGGCGCCGGTGGTGTAGTGGTAAGCGTAACTGCTTTCTAACTCCCCAATGGGTCTGGGTTCAATCCCAGCCGAGGTCGGTGGGATTTTTCTGAGGCATAAAAATCTCTGGTCACGTCTTCCTTCGGAAGGGAAGTAAAGCCGTTGGTCCCGGCCCATGTGTGTTGTTGAATGGGTGCGATATCCTACGCAGGTGTGGAAGCTGCCTTCCTGCACATTCGATTGCCATCAATGGATGGCAATCGATGTCCGTCGGTGATTGGCACTAGATTGCGGAACAGAGACCGACGTTAAATAAAAGAAATGAAAATGAAATGAAAGACAACGCGGCCAATAATGATCTCAATAACGCTTCAAATTCTGTGGCTGCTGCAAATGCGACTCATCATGCGCAATTTGGATTCACTGGTCGCCATTGTAGGTGCTTGATAAACGTGTAGTTTTGGAAGGATGCAATTTTGAACATCAGCTAATGGTTTTGGATAATATGGATGCTGTGATGAGACATTGTTTTGGTGATGAACTCATGGATGAGTGCATAGGTCTTTTTTGTGAAAGTTGGTCTACCGAAACCTTCCGGTAGGCCAAAAATTCAATATTGTAAAATATCACATTATAGATTTTTGCAAAAGTACAGGAAAAGTCTTAGTCTGGTTCACGGAAAAAACAAACGAAGCTGTTCATAATGATTTTTCCCAAACATGGAGTATCTATAAAGCAGTGGAAAATAATTTCAGATACGACAAAAACTTGATGAAAGCGGTGGTATTGTATAGTAGTGCTCATTTGAAGTAATCTCCTTATCTTGGCAGCTCCAAGTTTATTTTATCATTTTCTTTAGATATTTATGTAAGCATTGATAAGAATGGATGAAACAGATGGAATTTATAATTATAGTAAATTTAGTTTATTCTCTCCATTGTAAATTATTTCATCATTTTAAACATTATGAGTTCACGACAAAGTTACGACATCTTACGGTACCGAAGAGGAAATCTTGTTATACCATTGAAACGAAGTATTTTGACTACCTTAATCTCCAACAATCATATTCAGTTGTATTTGTTTCGATCCGTAACAGTTTTGTATCGTGAATGGTCCATATACGCCTTCATAAACGACTAAGTATACTTCAAAATACTTTTTCTCAAAAAACCCAAGATGAAATATTTTAAAACCATCACTGATTTGAATGTTAAGGTCCATTCTAACTTCCTGTGATGAAAAAACTGAGGTACATTAATGTTGCAAAAAAAATGCCTTCAGACATAGCGTGCCTCACTCGCTGTGCGGAATAAGGAGACCTAACTTAACATATGGACTCAAGGGATAGGTCACTCCGCACACCAATTTTGGGTCATCTTTATTGTAAGTGTGCCGCAAGTGTGACGCAGATGTGCCGATTGTGTCGATCATAGAGGAAGCTGCGATTGTTTGTGAAACACCCATCCCGGCAACTCGGTATTTCTGACACCTTAAATGTTTTGGTTTTAGTGAAACATTTAGTTTAGTAGCGGGTGTGCGAAATGTTGGTATTTTGTGTTCATAATATAATAAAAGTCCTGTGTTTTAGGGTATTATAATGCCCTCAAAGGCAGACTAGAAACCTAGCCTTTCGTTATGTGAAAAGCAACGGTCGGAAAGAGTTGGAACCGGTGGGAAACATTGTAGGAAACCGACTATAGAGGATGTTGAATAGACTTCTGTAGTTTGTTTTGTGTGAGTTGCAGCATTATTTGAACTAAGGGTCCTAGTGAGGTGTGATTAACTACCTCTTTCTCTTGAGCTCACTCTAGAATCTACATTTCGTATTTAGATCTATAAGTGAACTGCTGGTCTGAGTTCCTCTGGTATATACAATTAGAGGATGTTCCGTAATATACAGTCAAACAGCACGTAATGTTATGAATAACTTCAATAACAGTTGTCCAGCAGTGCTCCCATTTTATTTACAACAATCCAATGCCTACATGTGCCCGAGCTGTGCCGAATCCAATTTCGGCACAATGTGCTGAGTGACTTACTCCTTGTATGGACTAGATAGAAGGCTTCCGTCTTCAGCAAAGTTGTTCAGATAGACAAGACCTATTAACAGCTCAGCATTTTTTTTTCTGGATCTTAAATTTGGTTCTGCGTCGAAGACTTTAAATTTGTCTATGAGGAATTTCCCTTCACAGAGGTCTCTTCAAAATTCTTCTAAAGTAAATTTGAGATTCTCTCTGAGAGTCCCTTGAGCATTTCTTTCACAGTCAGGCATTCTCTATAGAATGTTTCAAAAAATTCATCCTTAGATTCTCTTCGGCTTTTAACGTTTTCCATGAATTAACGAGGTTTCCTTCCATTTAATTTTAAATTCGTTTGAATTCTCCTTAGAATTCTCATGCAATTCACCTCAGAAATGTCCTAAAATTTTGCTCAGAATTATCTTGAGGTTCTCGTCTAAATTCTTCAGAAAATTCACTTTAAAATTACACTGACCCCACACATATGGATCACTTCCATTTGATTAACATAATTCGAAAAATCGGACTTAGCATTTATACCAACAGCATTCGATCAATATAAAGTGAACTCTCTAATCTATTAAGGAGACCATACGAAATCCTCATAGCAAGTTAACCATGAAATTAATTTTAACTATGGTTCTATAACTCGATGCTGAGTTCGTAGACATTGTACATCGAGTTGAGGAGAGTTGACAGTCTGAATAAAAATATTTCAAAATTCCAATCAAATTTCCTAACCCCGATTCAGTGACAACCTTGTATCGGTTAAAGTAACTCGTGCCCGCCAACTGCATCTTTGGCTTCAGAAATCCAATCGCTTCTGTTTCAGATCAACAGACTACATTTGATGTCTGTGCTCGGGAAGCCCTCCCTTCGACAATCAACGCTAGGCTACATTTAGACGTTTTTTTTCTTCTTCTTAAAAGATAACAAAAGGAAAACGCGAAAACAAACATCGCTCTTCGATTGCGGAATGCGGAATCCGTCGTGTGTCTTACATCTCTCACGTTAAGGAAACTAAGAAGGAACGAAAGCACCTCAATAAACGTATACTTAATAAAGCAGAGTAGTAAACAAACGAACAGTTGTTACGACAGATAACGTCATTGTACGAATATTTGTTTTTGTTTGCTGTATATTTATATACGATATTACACTAAAACGCAACGAATATGATTCTCGAGCTCTTCCAACATGTACAAGTGGGAGTTGGGTAGTTTCTTTTGATTATATGTGTGTGGGTGGGAGCGAATGAAAATCGTGTATGTGCCGCCGGCGTAGTATGTAGTACGTGTGTGTGTGTGTGTTGCATGAGAGTGTATGACGTACGTACTTGGTAGTGAATGTGTCTGTTGTTATCGGGTAAAGGTAACTTAAACAACCGCACAAAAAAAACGTAGCAGATTGCGTGCGCTTGTGTGCGTGGTGTTGTACTAGGTATGTGAAATGTTTCGGGACGGGATTGGCTCCTAAAAACTAATTGTTCAGTTCCCGGCAACCGATAAGCGAAAATATCGTGGACCTTAAACGCTAGATTTGACTGTTGGTTTTCTCCAAAAAATAGAAAAAAAAAATAAAAAAGCTCTTTCTCTTAATTCAACTAATTTTGCACAGTCGTTCGATTGTAAACGTAATTTGAACATAGTTTACCGAGGGGTAGAAAAAAAAAAACAAAAAATAAAATTGCTCTTATGTTCCGTATTCTAGAGGCTATGTTCATAGGTTTTAGCTACTTCTTATATAACTATACATGAACTAGATAATTTAGTTTTTATTTTTAGTTAGAAATCAGCATTCCTTCATTTTTTTAGTTTATGTTACACCCACCTTCGTGTTATCCCATCAAGTCTAGACATCAGTTTCATTTTTTTTTTGCATTTTTCCGTTTACTTTTCCTAAATAATGTTATATCTATTGTTTACTTTCAGTACGATTCATGATGAACAGCACGTTGCCGCGCCTTGTTCTCAGCAGCATGTGCTGCCTGCTCTCCGATCAAATCGGAGATTCAACTTTCCACAAGTAGTCAGTGATCTACAGTAAGAGATAGTAGGATGAACCACTATATTCCAAAATTGCTCCTATGTAACTGTGTACTTGTGTCACTACATTCATTGATAGTTAGTAGCTTTCGCTCCCTCCCCCAACCAACATGAATTATAACTAAAACGAGAAGTATACGCTAAAATCCGGCTACCTCAAATTGATTTGCTCGTTTCCCAACCATCAGTAGTAGCAGTAGGTATATGCATAATAGGGATTGATTGATTCATACCGATTACGAGATATTCTCTCCCCTTCCTTTCTGATTTCTACACTTTAATCTTACAACAGATAAAAAATTTAATTATTACACTTATGTTTTCCTTTTTTTAACTGGAGTGTATTCCATGCTTCCTCTCTGATTAACATCGGGATGTTTTTTTTTTCTGAATACATATCACAAATTCATATACGTGCTCGATTAGTAGTAGTAGTTTAGCACATTCGACCAGCTTCTATCGTTTGTTTTGTTGCTACGTCTGTGCTCATTTACTCGCTCACATGCAGTCTTAAATTGGGATCTTCACATTTGTATGGTTCGACCATTTAGCAGCACTTGATGCTTGGTTATTCACCGTTTTTTTGTAAAGAACTGATCAACAGCTTACCCAAGGAACGGATGACGCAGGCAAATGTTGCAGCTGCTACGACGATGTTGTGTGTGAAGCATATCGGACAACATTTTTTGCGACTAGTCTAAGATTTATAAATCTGAACTTCTGCAAAGCAGATTAGCTCAGTAGAAGAAAAAAAAAAATCACATGCACATCCCTATGGAAACCCAATTGAAAAACTTATAGTATCTCCTTATCGGCGTCATGACAATCTGATCAATCTCCACAAAACTATTAGAAAAACAAAAAGGAAAAATCATATCTACAAAAAAAAAGAATACTCGCGTCCGTTCACAAACGGATCTTCGACTAGAAGCTTGCCTCGCACATCCAACATGGCCGCAGCTGCTATCCACAACGCCTCCGACAAAACAACAGAGTCACTCACACGTAGGACCATCTACTTACGATTTCCTCCGGTTGCCGGTAGCCTTCACCGTTCGGTTGTCCTGCTTGCCCTTGGCATGGGCCAACAACGTGACCAGCTTCTTGTGCGAATCGCCAACGATCCAACCGTGCTGTTGCATGTGCTCGCTACTGCTGCTCGTATCGTCACCGGCTTCTATCGCCGATTGGCTGTCCAGCTGCTTCTGCTGCTGTTGTTGCTGTTGCTGAGGATGCTGCTGTTGCGGCTGCTGCTGCTGCTGTCGCTGTTGCTTTTGCTGCGACTTTGCTGGCTGTCCCTTTGCCTGTTTTGGTTTGGCAGCACCAGCTTTCTTCTTCTTATTGCCCGCACTCTTGTTGGTGGACACTTCCACAAAGTCCTCCTCCAGATCGTCCTCCTCGCTAGATGACGACCAGAAGTACAACGTTTCCGCGGCGTTCCGCTTCCGCCGTGGCGCCGGCATCAATATGCTATCGCTCAGCTGTGCGTTCAACTGTTCGATCTTCAGATTGGCTTCGATGTCACTTTCCAGCAGTTTCTTCTTCACCTTCTTGCACTTGATATTGTCTTCAAAATCGCTATCCGGATCGTACGCTACGTTTTTCATCTTCTTCGGTGGACCTTTTCGTTGTTTCAGTTTGGTGTTCTGGGCGGTACTCTTCACTTCCGGTGTTTCTTTTCGCTGTTCCTTCGCTTTCGCTACTACTTTAGTCTTTTGATTTTGGTTATTATTGTTGACGGTTTTATTCGTCGCCGCCGTTTTCTTCGCTTCTTGTTGGGCCTTGTTCTGCTGTTGCTGTTTCGGTTCCTCTTTCTGCTTTCCGGTTTGAGTAGAATTGAGCTTCTGCTTAAACTTGGTGGTGATTGTTCTTGAGGAAATCATAACGCTCGATTCCAGTACGTGTTCATCCAGAGAGCTGCCATTGTCGGAACTGGAGTCCTTGTGTTCCGCCTTCTCCGGCATATTTTCATCCTCTCTCGATGAGTCCGATGAGGCAGCTTTGCTTGACCGCGCCTTGCCTCGACGTTTGTTGTCCCTCGTTCGGTGGTTCTTATTCATCGAGACCTCCATGATGACACTTTCCATCACCTGCCGTATCGTTTCGTCTGTCACGATCGGTTTCTTATCCGAGCCAGCCTTACCTTTCGTTACAATCAGTTCCTTTACTGCTTGATTCACCACCTTCAGAGGCGATTCGTCAGATTTTTCTTCCGCTTTCGGCGCATCCTTGTCTGCAGCTGCAGCAGGCTTTTTGCCCACTGCTTTTCCGTCTTTCTTCTCTATCAAATCCACAACATTCTTCAAATTGAAGTCTTCAAACTCGTCTGAGTCCCACGTTTCAGTCAGTTTTTTCTGTGTACTCCTCCTTCGCAGCTTCCGATTACCCTTTTCATCCTCCTCGTATTCTTCCAAAAGCTTCGAATCTTCAGCTTCCTGATCTGCTTCATGTGCTGTATCCTCTTCGTCGGGCTTTTCTTTTGCTTCACACTTTTTCAACGTGTCAAAGAGCTTGTCGAAATCCTTCGCTACCGGTTTCGCTTGGTCATCATTCGAAGCCGCTGGCACTTTCTTCGCACTAGTCTCTTCTTTTGGTTTGTCCTTGGCTTTCTTGAAAATTCTCCCCATGATAAGACTTTTCTTTTGAACGTCGGCCTTGACCGGTTTCTTCGGTGTTGTCTGCGTACTGCTGTAACTACTGCTCTTATCATCCTCGTCTTCCTCGCTGAGCGTATTGGTTCCGTACACAAAATCGTCCCTATCGGAGAAACTCAAGCTGGACAGTTGACTGTCGTCGCCTTGATCGGCTGACTCCACAGTGGATTTGTTCGTTATGGCAGGAGACGAAGAACTGGTCGCAGTTTTCTTCGACGAGTAGGAAGGCAGCGTTTCAGCTTCTTCTGGTGGTGAATCTTGAAAGGCATAGATATCGTCCGGATCGAGTTTACTGCTTTTGGCCGTAGTTCTTGCCGCAAGCGCCGTCGCTGATTTCCTCTCTCGGGCCGTCGATCTCCTTGAGCTGCCGGCAGTAGCAGTGGTAGCTTTGGTTGGAGCAGCACCACCCTTCTTCTTTTTCGCTCGAAAACCTAACCTGTTGCCTTGTGGTTCCTTCTTGGCCGGTGCCCTTCGTCCACTGCTTTGGAGGCCATTCTTCGGGGAAGCGTCACTCTTTGGAGTCATCTGACCAGGTGGAGGGGTAGGAGTGGCCATTTCCGGTATTCGACTGGACAGTTCATCTCCCTTCTCTTCATCGCTGTCCTTGAGATCGAATTCTTTTGGAATATCACCACACAGCGCCACATCTGCAAGGGTATCCAGTTTGGACTCTTTCGCTATGTGTATTCCACTCATCGGTATGGAAACTTTGAAGTTATCGTACCCCTTCAAAGCTCCTTTGGTTTTGATCGTTTTCTGTGAAAACACCGATGCTTGCGAGCTGGTAGATTTGGTAGAATTTTGTGGCGAAAGGTTTCCGTCGTTTTCCGCTTGCTGATCGATACCGGCCGCGGTCAGTTTGGCGAACGGATCGGCCAGGTTTTTATCGGCATAGCGTTCATTGATCGTTTGGATGTAGTTTTCGCTTTCGCTGACATCTTGGAACGAGGGGAAACTGTCACCCATGTTGAAGCAGCTGTCGGTGGTTTTGTCCTGCTCTGGTAATCCCGCGAAGGGATTCGGAAAGGCGGCACTTGCCTTGGAAGGTGGACTTTGCTCGCATACCATACCCGAAGCCATTTCGTCGGACTTGAGGGACACCGTGAGATTTAGGTTCTCGTTGTCTGCATTGGACTCCTTGAGCATCGAGCAGCACTCGTAGAAAAGTTTTTCCTCTTGGCTCAGATTTTTCATAGTACTCTGAGGAGATGCACCGGTTGTCGGTGGCGTTGCTTGGGCAGGAGTTGGCTGTTGAATAGCAAGCACAGCAGTTGCCGCCGCTTCCCTTTCCTTCTGTTGTGCTTCAAGGTATTCCTGTTCGGATAGCTTTGCTATGTGGGACAGCGTCATTCGGTGCTTGTTGTAGGCATCTTGCTTCTTGAAAACCTTCTTACAAAGATCGCAGTTGAACGTCAGGACAGGTTTACTTTCGTCAACAGGTGGTTTCGGCCGTCGAGACTTTGTCACGCATATGGACTTCCGACGTTTGCGTTTCCTGATGCTTCCACCGAAGGATGTAACTTCCGTCGTTACGCTCATATCGTCGTCCATTGCACTGTTGCTTTCGTCTTCGGCGTTTGCTTCCAGCGAGTCTTGACAGTGCTGCTGATTCGGCTTCAGGAAGCCTTCTTCTCGCCGAACGAAACATGCCAGTGACATATTGTCATCATCGGAGTCGGACTCGGATTCGGATTTGTTAATGATGTCTTCAACCAGTTTGTTCAGCTTTGGGGTCTCGTCTTCATCGTCGTTGGAGAACGAAAGTGATTCCCGAGGCTTCGGAGCTATACTCGCCTTTGCAACTTCTTTCTCTACTGCCTTGACGAGTTCATCGATTTTATTCGATTCAACGCCGATGGGAGACTCCTTCGGTAGCGTGAGACTTTCTTTGATCTCTTTAACCGGGGTGGAGCTGGTAAGCACAGAAGCTGGTGACTCGAAGGCGACCGGAGTGTTGGTCTTTCGTGGCTTCCGCTTACTTCGGTCAATCATCTGGATCTCCTCTTCGATGTTGAACAACTTTGAGAGGTTTTCTGCCAATTGACTGTTCTTGGTTCGTCGTTTCGTACCGGTAGTCGGAAGGGTCAGTGGCTCTAACAACGATTCAAAAGTAGGCTCCGGAGTACCGTTGAACACAGAACTCTGATTACGCCTTCGACCGATCGTTTTTATATCCTGATCCCAAATTCCACCCGGACCAGGCGTTTTAGATCGCATCGGTGTCTTTGCTTTCAATTCTTCCTTCTTCTGCTTTTCCATCTGTTCTTCTTCATCCAGGAACGATATCGGTTGGTAGACTGACGCTCGACGCCTGTACTGTCGCTTGGTAGCTTTACTGATTTCCGCAATGTTCTCTTCCGGAACTTTTGGTTTCTCGACTTCTGGAGGTGGCGCTATGAACAAGGAAGCCCTGCGGGCGCTGATCCTTCGCAATACAGGTGCAGGTTTTTCCGCCTCTGCTTTCTTCTTTCTCTCCTCTTCTTCTTCATACTTTCGTTTTTCCTCCTCCCACCTTCGCCTATCCTCTTCTCCCCGTCGTTTCCGTTCTTCGTCAGCTACTCTTCGTTCCTCTTCGGTACGTTTTGCAGACGCAGCTGCCGCCGCAACGGCTGCAGCGGATCTTCTTCGAGGATCTCTAGGTTTCATGGCAGCTTCGGCGAAACTTTGCACTAGATCCAGATCCACCGTTCCTTGACTGCGGGTGCCTCGGCGTGACGTAAGAATCAGATCATCTTTGAAGGAACTGTGAGAAAGAAGCTCTTGCTCGGCATCTCTCTCCTCCAAATACTGTGCTAGGTTCCTGTCCACGAAAACCGATGATCTACGGGCCATGATTCGCTTAGGCGGTGATGGTGTTATAACTTTCCTTGGAGTGACCAGAGGCGATGGAGATCTTGGCTTTTCCTCCACTGGGGCAGGCGTTTTCGATCGCTTCGTAGGGGTCTTCGGTGGAACTTCCTTAGACGGCTCAGGTGCCTCCTTCGGAAGTTCAGATTCTTCAGTTTCTTCCTTCTTTTTCTTGTTCGGAAATGTACTGCTGGGTTCAACTGCAGGTTCTTCTTTGTCCGCTTTTCCACCTTTTCTTTTAGCTATTTTCTTTTGAGCTGGAGCCTCCGTCGTCGGTTCTGTCTTTTCAGGCTCCTTAGTTAACTCCTCAACGACTGCTGTTTGTTTTTTCTTGCCAATCGTTGGTTTCTTCATTGGGGTTTCGATGTTCAACGAATCCTTCAGCCGATCCAAATCCGTCTTCTCCGATGGTTTTTCCTTTGGAAACGGGAACGGTGTCTTTGATCGAGACTTTGGTTGCGACTTCTTTTTGGAACTCGTAACCACAGGCTGTGGAGTTGGTGCCTTTTCGATAGTCTCGACTTCCGTCGGTTTTTCCAAAGGTTTCTGAATTTCCTGAGGCTTGTCTTCGTTTTTCTTCGTGTCTTCTTCTTTGGGCGTTTGCACAGTGTCGTCTTTTTTAGTCGCCTTTGTCTTGGTCTTTTTATCCGCAGGAGATTCCCTCAGTTTTTCAGCTATGTCTAAGCTTTCCAGTTGCTTCGAATACTTCGCCTTCAAGTTCTGACGTCCTTTCCTATCCAAGGTAGCTATCCGTTCTATATCGATGGATAGTTTGCGTGTTCGGCGATTTGGTGGGTTTTTAACCGGAAGCGCTGCTACCACAGGGGTGGCCGATTTTTCCGGTTCCGTTTCTGGTGGCTTCGGAGGCTCGTCTTCTACCTTCTTAAGAATTTTCTCCGAAACCTTTTTCGCGTTCTTCTTCGCCGTCGTAGGTTTCTGGGCTTCCTCAACTACAGGTTCAACATGTTTTTCCACTTCTTCAGTGATCTGCTCTGGTTGGTCCACCACGCTTTCCCTCTTTTCGTTTTCTTCATTTTCTGTCTTCTCATCGACTTCCTCAACTTTGTCTTTCTCTTGCATCTCCTCAGTTGTCTGATCCTTAGCTGCTTGATCTTTCGCACCTTTCTTTGCCGGTGTCTTCTTTCCAGTGGCAACCGGTGATTGCGGATGACGAATGTTGACTTTCCTTTTGGCCAGTTGCGGAATCTGTTCGAGTGAAAACTTTATATCCGGTTTTTCACAGGACATATCATGCATCATTTTCAGATCCTGCAGGGCATTTTGGTCCACTTCTTTAAAGCTTTCCAGCAGTTGGTCGGACAGAATGGCAGCCAGTTCATTCTTTCGCCGCTTGCGGACAGTTTTTGCTGAACTGTGCGCAGCGGGAGTGGGAGTAGTTGACGTTTTCGAGGGCTCGAGTGATTCCGGTCCCAATTCTGAGGGCTTGGGTTCTGCTGGAATTTCGACAGGCGGTTCCTCCGGTGATGTGCTTAGTATTGACTTTTCCGGGCTCTTCGGAGGATGTTCCTCTCGGGGAGGTGTTTTCTCTTTCGTCGGTTCTGGCTCTTTGGGTGGAATCACGTCTACTGGTTCGACTGGATCCTGGGCAGGCACCGGAAGTGGTTCTGTAAACCTGTTTGCTTCTGTATCGGTGGTCGGTAGAGGGTCTTTAGCGGGGATTTCCGTCGTTGGGATTGCAATGGGTGTAGCTGTTGGGGGTGAAACTATCACACTTTGTGCCTTCTTCTCGACGGGTGGAGGAGGAGTGGCTTCCGAGGTTGATGTTTTATCTTTCGGGGGCGATTCGACGACTGGAACGGCTTCTTCGGATGTTTTCTTTGAGGGTGAAATTTGCGCCGGAGGAGGTTGTGCAGCAGCGACAGCCGCAGCAGCAGCTGCGGCGGCGGCAGCATTCTCGATTTGCTTTACGATGACATCCCGATTCGGTAGGAATATCTTCTCGAGAAGAGCAGCAGCAGCGGCCGTGCTAGGAGCATGAGGAGCGGGCACAGAGAGAGGTGGAATTGCCGGTGGTTTCAGATGGGGAGGAAGACCTACGGCTGCCAGCCGTTGAAGGTCAAGCCCAAGCGGTGGGCCTGTAAGTAGGGAATGCGGGAATAATGGAAATGGTCCTGGAAGGAACGTTGGTGAAACAACAGGCGCTGGTGGTGCAACCGAAGGAACCGGAGGTGCCGGGGCATGGGATTGTGTTTCGCTGACTGGCGGAGTTTGTGTCACATAAACACTCTTGCGACGACTTCGTTTACTGCTGCTGGAGGATGCTGATTGTGGCTGATTAGGAATGGGTACGGTGGGAATAATCAGCGGTGTAGGGTTAACAGTAGGTGGAGCTCGATCGATAACCGGTAAACGCTCGGGAATATTCAACGTAACCGGAGGTTGCTTGGCGACTGGACTGTGATGGCGATCGTTTTTCGCTTCCGTAATGGTAACCGATATACGATTCTCCAGAGGCCGCTCCTGGCGTAGCGTCGAAGCTATTGATGGCGCTGATTGATACGGCGACTGCTGCTGCTGCTGTAGTGGTTGGGTCTGCTTCGGCGATGGCAACTGCTGTTGCTGTTGTTGGTGAGATGGAGGCGTAATCTTCCTCGGGTCACCGTAGAGCTGTTGATGCTGTTGTTGTTGCTGCTGCTGTTGTTGTTGTTGTTGTTGTTGTTGCTGCTGCTGTTGTTGTTGTTGTAGTTGTTGTTGCTGCTGTTGTTGTTGTTGTTGCTGCTGTTGCTGTTGTTGTTGTTGCTGCTGTTGCTGTTGTTGTTGATGAATAGATTGCCGTCTCGTTACGGTTTGAGGTGATGGTTGTGATTCAGATGTAGTATGATGCATCATCGATCGACTTTCCCGACTTTCCATCGAAGGAGGAGGTTGTCGGCGAGCTACAATGGTTACCGATGGAGCTTCCTTGGATATGACGGGTCTAGACTTAAACTCGACTCGTTCGATTATGAGACCCGGTGGAAGCTTGATTGACGGAAGGTTTCTGTTTGATGTCGATGGACCCGGTTGATGGTGTTGTAGGGACTGGTGGTGTTGCTGGTGTTGTTGGTGCTGTTGTTGATGCTGTTGCTGTTGATGTTGCGACGGCTGAGGCTGAGGAGAAGGGTGACGCATTGAAGTTGGAAGCTGATGCGGTGAATGCAGGCTCGTCGGCGATGGAGGCGGTGGAGGTGACATATGGTGAGTCTGTCTGTGATGATTGTACATATCCCTCGTTCGAGGTGGAGCACTTCTGCCAATTGGACTATTCTTCGACAAATTCAAAGGTTCATCGGAAATTTCTTCCATTGGCGTTACGATGGGTGATACGGGAGAGAGCATTGGAGGTTGCGATGACACTGATGACCGTCGGGTGTTCATTACCAGCGGCAGTGGTGCCAACTGAGGTGGAGTTATCTGCAGAGGCATGGCGGTAATTGTAGGTGGCTGTAATGGAACCATGTTAGGAGCCGGAAGCAATAATTGCTTAGAGGCACGCGTTTCGACAGATGGAACCGTATTTTTCGGTCCAGGATTCTTGCCTATGGCCTGGTTGAAAAAGTCAACGCCAAGCTTTTCGGACAGCTTACCAGTCAACATTGCAATACAGTCGTTTAGCTTTTTCGGTTTTCGTTTATTGGCTTGCTGGCAGGATGGTGTCGAGGGAGTCGAAGGTGGCTGCGAATTTACCGATGGAGACTTGACCGGTGTAACCGGCTGGGTGACGATGGGTTGATCATGCGGTTCTTCCGCCATTGCCTCCAACGCCTTAGGAGTAGCCACCTCATCCCTACTCAACTCAACTTCCTTCACGGGCGTGACAACATTTTCCACCTGTGCTACTTTTTCTTCAGATGGCTTCTCTTCAACTTTATTCGAATCATCATCTTTAGAACTTTCTTTAGGCACTTCTTCGGTAACGGGATCCTCTTTCTCATTGGTATTCTTCTTAGCTTCTTCTTCGTCATGATCTTTTTTCACAGTTTCTTCCTCCTCATCTTTGTGTTGACTAACCTCTTCTCCCGTTTCCACTACATCCTCTAATGGCTCTTGTTTCTCTTCATCCTCTTTATTCGAATTAGAATTTTCCTGCTTACCTTCCAGCTCGACCGGACTTTTACTCCCCTTTCGTTTAGAACTATTCTTCTTCGCACTTGTCGGTGAACTCATCTCTGTCTCCTTGTCTTCCTTTTCTGGCGATTCCTTCTTCGTCGGCGTAACGCTTTTCGCTTTAACCTTTCGGATACCGACGGTGGGCATGACCTTCACAACACCGCTTCGCAACGTCCGACTATTGCCAGTCAATCCCTTTCTGAACGGAAGCACCTTCTTACCCTTCCATTGCATTCCTCGATTGCCGAATGCATTACCACGAACCGGAAGTATCCTCCCGCGAGGAAGTACCGACTTCTTTTTCTTCATAACGGGAGTCTTCTGTCTGTCTTCCTTTTTCTCCGCTTCTTCCTCCCGTTTCTCTTGCTGCTCCTCTTTGGTATCATCCTTCGTCGTCTCTTCTTTGATCTCCTCCTCCTTATCAGCTTTACCACTTGGTTCTTCTTTCGCTTCTTCTTCTGCTTCTACCGGTGGTTTAGGTTTAGACTTAGCCTTGACCGGTACCTTCTTACTTGAACTAGGGACAGCTGCAATCTTACCACTTCGTAACTTGAGAGCAGCGGCACTGGCACCACGGGGCACTCCCGCCTTGGATGGGGCCAAGGTAGAAACGACCTGTTTCTTGCCTTTGACGATGTTGATTTGTGGACGTTTTCGGATTTGCTTGGTGACCTGCAGTATCTGCCGTGACACACGCTTTGCAGGGAGGTTGGCCGTCAGCCGTCTGACGATGTCACCTGCGGAAACAAGAATGAGGGAACAGTTAATGATTGATTTGCTTTATTGTTCCGGTTTGGAATCTACGGCTTTAGAGATTCGGAACTTTGGATTTTTTTTGGTAATATTTGGGATTCTGTGAAAAATTGACTTAGCTTAATACAAATAGATTTAAGAATTTCATAAGGCTCGACTTATGAACGACACATATGAATTTCACAAGCACGACTTATGACAGATTTTCGTCTAACATGAGGTAGCTCTTATATGCCTTTAGCCATTCCATTTTCGCAAGCGTTGACAATCGAGTGCCTCAGTCAGGGCTCGTAATATCAACGTCTTTGGTTCGGTTCCAGGCTACTCCTTTAAATTATTTTTTTATCGACATTATTTTTCATGAGGCAAATCAATGAAATTCGTGTCGATTTTTATTAAGTTCCTTTCAGAATTCTTCTAAAATAAATTAGAAATTCTCTCTTTAAGTCCCTTGAAAATGTCTTTATAGGGTATATGTCCCTAACCATAGTTTATATATGTGAAGCCTTCAATTACATTTTATGCCGTATCTTATGTAATAATTGAGCTGCAATCACTGTCAACATGCAAGTTTAGATATCCTTATTATTTGGATATAAATTAGGCACGACTGAAAATTGTAAAACTCACCATTTTAACATGAAAACTTTCCAGGTACGTGGATGTAATGTCTGTCTACTGTTCTCAAATTGGGTCTATAAATGGATGCAGCTTCGTCTTATCAAAGTTGAACCTCGCACTTCTTTTTCACTTCTTATCTATCATACGCATTGCTGGGTGGCATAGCCTGGGCAATGTTGCCAGTCCAGCAATAGTAAAGTGAAGAGGTGCGACGCGAACACTGGCGCGGAAACCAAAGAACGGTGATAGAGGAAATGCTTCACCAAACCAGATCGTCTGTTCACCATGGAGGTGCGGCTCAAAGCGGCGTCTGTTCTCCATGTTAGGAGCGGCTGATCACCGTCCTAGTGCCAGCGTGGGACTCTGGCAGGCCCAACAAGCCGCCATGAAAAAAAAAAACAAAGTCGCAAATACCGAAGAAAGAAATACGGATCGGAACAATCGGCACAAACCTACGCGACGAAATAAGGACTACGATTGGAAACTCGGAACATGGAACTGTAAATCGCTTGGCTTCCCGGGCTGCGATAGGTTAATCTATGACGAACTTCAACCACGCAACTTCGAAGCCGTAGCACTGCAGGAACTTTGCTGGACGGAACAGAAGGTATGGAAAGCGGGCAGCGAGCGGCTACTTTCTACCAAAACGTGATTGGTTGGCAGTCGACCGCGATGTGCAAGTTGAGGATTAAGGGCCGTTTCTTCAACTACAGCATCATCAACGTGCACTGCCCACACGAAAAGAGACCCGACGACGAGAAAGAAGCGTTCTATGCACAACTGGAGCAGGTGTACGACGTGGACGTCAAAATCGTCATCGGGCTACAGGCAATGTACAGACCGATGCGTAAGCTTTCCAGCCTCTCGGGGTATGGTAGTCCGAAGTACCTTTTTCCCCCGCAAGGATATCCACAAAGCCACCTGAAGATCAGCTGACCAACACACAGAAAACCAAATCGATCACGTTCTAATCGACGGGAAATTCTTCTCCGACATTATCAGCGTTCGCACGTACCGCAGTGCGAACAAAGATTCGGACCACTATCTAGTTGCAGTATGCATGCACTCAAAACTCTCGACGGTGCATAACAGTTGCCCAGGATTACGCGCAGCAGCTGGAATTTGCACTACCCACGGAAGAGCAGCTTGGCGCAGCTTCTCTTGAAGATGGCTGGAGGGACATCCGTTCAGCCATAGGTAGTACTGCTGCAGCGGCACTAGGTATTGAAATCCCGGACCGAAGAAATGACTGGTTTGACGGCGAATGCAAATTGTTAGTAGAGGAGAAGAATGCAGCACGGGCAAGAATGCTGCAACGCCGCATGAGATTGAATGTGGAGCGATAAAGACAAGCGCGGAACAGACAAAACTCGGTATTCCGAAGGAAGAAGTGTCAGCAGGAAGACCGAGATCGTGAGGCGATAGAAAATCTGTACCGCGTAAACGACACACGGAAGTTCTACATAGCTACATAGTTAGCTACATAGTTCGCACAAAGGCTACGTGCCGCAAGCCGATATATGCAAGGACTTGGACGGTAACTTTCTCACGAACGAGTGTGAGGTGAATGAGAGGTGGTAGCAGTACTATGACGAGCACATCAATGGTGATGCAGCAGAAAACGAAGGTGGCACGGTAACAAACCTTGGAGCACGCGTAGAAGACGACAGGCTACCGGCCCCAAGATCTTCAAGAAGTTGAGGAGGAGATCGGTCGCCTACAAGGTACTCTCCCAAATTCTATGCCGCAGCCTGTTGCCATTTGCAACAGAATTCGTGGGACAAATTTTCGAAATACGGCAGGTTCTGCAGGTTTCAAATCCGCATACACAATCGATCGAGATCAGCTAATCGCAGATTATGCACGAGTACGGATTTCCGGATAAACTGACGCGATTGGTCAAGCCGACGATAGACCGAGTGATGTGCGTTGTTCGAGTATTGGGGACACTCTCGAGTCCCTTTGAATCTTGAAGGGGGTTACGGCAAGGTGATGGATTTTCGTGTCTGCTATTTAACATCGCGTTAGAAGTTGTGAAAAGAGCTGGGATAGACACGAGTGGCACGATCTTCAGGAAGTCCATCCAGCTTCTTGGCTTCGCCGATGACACCGACATCATGACACGGAACTTTGAGACGATGGCGGAAACGTACATCAGACCGAGACACAGTGGTGCCAAGGGTATGAAAACACGCGCTTTTTAATTACGCTGAAATGGTTGATTAAAGGTACTAGGTGTCTTCTGAGAAGTTTCTCTGGTAACAACATTCCTTCTTATGGTAAAAGAAAATTAAAGATTAATCCACCTAAAAGTGAGATGCAAAATTTATTTTTTTTAATATGATGAGATACAAAATAATTGTGTTCGGCAAAGCTGTAGAGAACATTACTGTGAACAACTTTTCTGATAACTATAACTTTCTAGTTCTTATAACTGCTGAGATATAAAGGTTTTTTTTGTGGAGACATCGTTAAAATCAATTTTGCACCTGTAACTTTTTCTACAATATTTCTACATGTTTGGCATGTTCTACAAAGATGTTAGAAATATCAAATTACATGTCTTTTCAGAAGACAGCAAATTGCTATCATTAATATTTGAAAAGTTATTTACATTTTTTGGTTGAAAATTATCCAACTTCCAATACCAATAACTTCTAAACGGGCAAAAACGAGCAGGCCATTCTTTGAGCAATTGAAAGTACAAGAAAATGCAATGAAATGGTGAAGAAACCAGACCGCCCCCACGTGACCCTAAACCGAAATACTTGCATTGAAACTTGTCACTTTTCAGCATTTGAAATGGCGATTTTATGAAACCACGGGACTGTTATCGAATAGGTGTGAAAAGAGGCATACAAATGGATAACCAAGCAACCTGGGTTATTTCTAGTGACTAACAAAATGACTCGGGATCTAAACCAGACTACCCCCAAACGACCCTTGACTCAATCGCTTATGTAGGTACATTAAATATTTTTCGATTTGTCATCTGTGATGACCAAAAGTTGCAGAGCATCCCCGGAGCACACCTCACTTTTGTTTTTCGGTAGTTCCCTCATGTTGGAAATTTACGTCATGTAATAAATCATATGAATACTTGGATAAATGTGTATTCAACTAATAACTCTTATACTATCATCAGGCTACGAAATTAACTGCGAGTGGTTCGAAAGCTACGGAACAGAAACGGCTCGTAAACTAGTCGATCTATATACATGGTACTATCTCCCCGTGTTTGTTCATAAAGTGCTCATACATGGGGCGAAAGTGATTTCTTCGTTTCTAATACCCATTAGGCAACTATCTGAAGAGGCCCAGGAAAGTAAAAACAAAGCTACCAAGCGATACAGAACCCACCACACAAGAAAGTTTTCCAGAGAAGCCACGAATACAGATCTTCTTCACCGTCTTCTGATTCGTTAATTTCCAACATCAGGGAACTACTGAAAAACAAAAGTGAGTTGTGCTCCTGGGATGCTCTGCAACTTTTTGGTCATCAGAGATGACAAATCGAAAAATATTTAATGTACCTACATAAGCGATTGAGTCAAGGGTCGTTTGGGGGTAGTCTGGTTTAGATCCCGAGTCATTTTGTTAGTCACTAGAAATAACCCAGGTTGCTTGGTTATCCATTTGTATGCCTCTTTTCACACCTATTCGATAACAGTCCCGTGGTTTCATAAAATCGCCATTTCAAATGCTGAAAAGTGACAAGTTTCAATGCAAGTATTTCGGTTAAGGGTCACGTGGGGGGCGGTCTGGTTTCTTAACCATTTCATTGCATTTTCTAGTACTTTCAATTGCTCAAAGAATGGCCTGCTCGTTTTTGCCCGTTTAGAAGTTATTGGTATTGGAAGTTGGATAATTTTCAACCAAAAAATGTAAATAACTTTTCAAATATTAATGATAGCAATTTGCTGTCTTCTGAAAAGACATGTAATTTGATATTTCTAACATCTTTGTAGAACATGCCAAACATGTAGAAATATTGTAGAAAAAGTTACAGGTGCAAAATTGATTTTAACGATGTCTCCACAAAAAAAAACCTTTATATCTCAGCAGTTATAAGAACTAGAAAGTTATAGTTATCAGAAAAGTTGTTCACAGTAATGTTCTCTACAGCTTTGCCGAACACAATTATTTTGTATCTCATCATATTAAAAAAATAAATTTTGCATCTCACTTTTAGGTGGATTAATCTTTAATTTTTTTTTTACCATAAGAAGGAGTGTTGTTACCAGAGAAACTTCTCACAAGACACCTAGTACCTTTAATCAACCATTTCAGCATAAATAAAAAAGCGCGTGTTTTCATACCCTTGGCACCACTGTGCGAGGGGGGCGACACATCTAAATCTCAAGTTTAGATGCTCAACAAATCTCACACTAGCGAATCAATCTTCGAAAAATCTTCTTTCATTTGTCGCATCTACTTGCATCGCTCATCATCTTTTTGCAGGAAATCTTCAGAATTGTCATCAATCTTCTTTCTATCTACTCAGCGTGCGTGTAGCTAACCACAGCATTTTGCATCGTAGATAGAGTCGTCCCCCTCGCATCAGACTGAAGGCTGAAGCTAGGAGCATTGGACTTGCCATCAACGCATCGAAGACGAAATACATGAGAGGAAGAGGTTCTAGGGAAAACATTTAGTCTCCCACTCCGAGTTCAGATTGACGGTGGCGAAATCGAGGTGGTCGACGAGTTCGTGTATTTGGGCTCACTGGTGACCACCGAAAATGATACAAGCAGAGACATTCAAAGACTCATTATGGCAGGGAATAAAATTCGCAGCCGCACGAAGTTGACTATCTACAAGACGCTGATTAGACCGGTGGTCCTCTATGGCCACGAGACATGGACTATGTTTTTGGAGGACCAACGCACCCTTGGTGTTTTCGAACGGAAGGTGTTCCGTACCATCTACGGTGGAATGCATATGGATGACGGAACGTGGAAAAGGCGAATAAACCATGAATGGAAACACCTGCTGGTTCCATTCATCGTCCACATTGCAAAAATTGGGCGACTACCGGAGATTACCGGACGACGACCCCGTGAAAATGGTTCTCGAAAGCGATCCAACAGAAACAACAAGAAGAGGCGCGAGCGGGTAATGTGGATCAACCAAGTAGAAGGCGACCTACGGTCCCTTCGCAGAGTACGAGGTAATACATTCCTTATGAAATTTATTACCTGATTGGGAGCAGCAGTCCAGATTTCCCAAGGTCTCATCTGACCCCTCATCTGCATTATTTATGAAATAGTGCAACACAGTCACACAGCAAATGTTCAGAGCTTTCACTCTTTAAGTTACAAAAGCGACATTTATCTTAATGAAGTTTACCAATGATTTTCAGGTGATATTTACAAGAACAGTGTCCTATTATTAAACCAGCGTATGTCCTCAAACCTTTTTTCGAAAGATTCATTAATTTTTGTGTATGAAAAGCGTTCGGCCTTATAAAACGTTTAGATTGCCGAGAATTTAAGGCACTGATCCAGTTGTACTATACCTTTGTTTTTTCCCAGTTTTTTAGCTCGGAGGACTACATTGTTTACATTTTCGGGTATGCTGACGATGTACTTATCGTAACTATCGCCCCAACAGCAGCACGTAACAGGATCAAGGCCCAGGCAGCAGTCTCCGCTGTAGCCAGGTGGGCCAGCGCGGTAGGTTTCCAGCTTTCGGCCACCAAAAGCGTCAGATGCCACGTGTGTCCATCCCGGCACCGTGTCAGTGGGCCACCTATTAAAGTTCAAAGCCAGCCCATACCACTGAAGAAGACGGTCCGTATTCTGGGGGTACTTGTTGACCGGTCCCGCAAATTCGAGCAGCACTTTAAGGCGATCAAGAACGACTGCCACAGTAGGATCAACTTGATCCGCACCATCTCTCGCCCCCACCGGTCTAACAATCGCGACACTCGTTTCCGGGTTGCAAGAGCCGTCATCGATAGTCGCCTACTGTACGGTCTTAAGATGACGTGCATCCTCATCGAAAAGCTCGTGTAGATACTAGCACCAACTTTCAACACCTACGTTCGGCTTGTCATCGATCTTTTTCCGTCAACGCCCGCCGATGCCGCATGCAACGAAGCGGGTATTCTGCCCTTCCACCATCGTATAACCGCAGCAACTGCAACGAAAGCCGCTGACTTTACCGCAATGACAGGATCTTTCTCCTCGATGAGGGGAACAGACTCCTCCGCATGACTGCCAATTCGGACTTCCCCCAGTGACCGAGGTCCACTAGTACGGAGACAAAAGTTGGCGCATACCTTCACCAAAAATCGAGAGTCGGATAAAGAGCAGGTTCAAGGCTGGAGATAACTATGCAGCGCTGACGAGAACAGTAGCCGAACTGCTAGGCTCGGACTACCCAACCCATGCCCACATATACACGAACGGATCGCTTGGAGTAGCCGGAATTTCAGCACCGATGAGTAGCAGCCTACCGCCACAATGCTCGGTTTTCTCCGCCGAAGCTGCGGCCATCTTTGTTGCCGTTACAACACCATCGGACCGGCCCATACTGGTGCTATCCGATTCGTACAGCGTGATACAAGCCCTTACATCGGAGACCATGAGTCACCCCTGGATACAGGGTATAGTGGAGGCCACACCTCCGAACACGGTGTTTTCCTGGATCCCTGGGCACTGCGGTATCCCAGGAAACAGCGAAGCCGACAGCCTGGCAGGGTCTGGACCAGCTGGCCCCCGTTACACCAACGAAGTGCCACTACAGGACATAAAGCGATGGATAGTCAGCAAAATATGGGAAGCCTGGGAAACAGACTGGTGCCAATCCCAATCCCGCTTCATCCGAAGAATCAAAGGAACGACGAGCAAGTGGACGGATATGTCTAAACTACGGGACCAGAAGGTGGTTTCTCGTCTTTGGACAGGCCATACAAGGATCTCACATAGTTTTGGTGGGACGTAGTTCCACAGAATGTGCTACGTTTGCGGAACCACTGCATCGGTGGAACACATCCTATGCCTGTGTCCGCAATACCAACAACTACGGGAGCAGTACGCACTTCCCAACAGCATTAGGGACATACTAGGCGACGAATTTCGACAGGACAGTTGCTGCAATAGTTTAGTACATTCCCACACAAATTTTGACGGGTTAGTTTTTGATTTCAACGCATTCAGCGCCGCTTGACTATCTGAACAAATGCAAATATTTGCATTTTGCACATTCTAAGATGGCATATATTTCAGCTTGAAATACTGTCGGCCATTTTCCCATGGACACCGAGAAGTTAATCCCAGGGCCGGTAATACCAGTCCCGTCCATATTATCTTGTTTCGAGCCATCTGTATAAAAAATTAATGATCCAGGACTAATATTCAGTCTTCCTGCATCCCAGTCAACGCGAGTCACATCAGGAACTTGGAAATTTGACTTATCTGAAACTCTTTTAAAATGCTCAAATGTCCAATAAGATCTCAATTGAAGAAATGCATGGACCGTTTGAGCCTTAGAGCACTTTTCACCTCGCTTTTCACTGCATCCAGTTGAATAAATTGATGAAGAGGAAGGATATTGTGTAAAGCAGCTTCTAAGGCAGTAGAGGGAGTACTACGCATTGCTCCAGCTATGGAAATAGTTGCAAGCTTTTGTAACTTTTGTTGCTTAGTTTTCGGCCACCATATAAGTGAGGCGTAGGTAATCCTGGGTTTAACTATAGCCGAGTATATCCAGTGTATCATTTTTTGGTTACAGACCCCATTTTTCCAAACGTTCTTTTGCAGGTCCAAAAAGCATTATTTGTTGCTTTTCCTATTTGTTGATCAATATGTTTGTTCCAGCAGAGTTTACTATCTAAAGTTACTCCTAAAAACTTTACTTCTAAAGATAGTGACAGCTTTACGTCTCCTAGTTTAAGACCAGTGATAGAGGTTTTACGTCTAGTAAAAGGTACAATAGTTGTTTTTGTAGGATTGACATTCAATCCCATATCTTTGCACCACGATAGTGTGAATTTTAATGCTTTTTTGCATTCTGTCGAAAACAACTTAATCGAATTTTCCACGGACTATAATGAAAATGTCATCCGCAAACCCAATTTTTTCGAATCCTTGATGCTTTAATTTTAAAAGAAGGTCATCAACAACTACGAGACCACAGAAGGGGAGAAAGAACACCTTCTTGAGGACAGCCTTTTACAGCTGTTACTTTCACTACTGAATCTCCTAGATTAGCTGATATTTCTCTTTTGGAGAGCATTTCTACAACCCAGTTGATTATGTTTATGCAGTGTATTATAAGTTTCATAAGCCAAACTTATGAATTCTGTTTCAAATAAGAAATCCTTTCGTCGAATAATAAACGGTTCTTATCGCATTTGCTGAGTTATTAATTTCAACCCGGAGTTGTCGATCGACCGATTCTTGGCAATTGGGACACAATCTTATCTAATTCGCCTCACTGTACAGAAGAATTTTATTCAAAGCGATTTCTTCCCAGTTTTTTGCATTAGATAGTAATCATCACCGATCCCATTTATTTCCCACTTTCCCACAGTGTATTTTGTCATTCATGCCGAAAAAAATGAAAACCATCAACTTACTGTCATTTTCCTTCGGCCTCGGAGGAGACGACTTTGATTTCTTCTTGCTTTCCGATCCCGCGCTGCTACTGCTGCTACTGTCGGCATCCGCTCCGGAATGATTGCTCGCCGTTTCGGATTTCTCCACCGCCGCTTGGGCACTGTGGGACATTTGGGCCTTCCTGGCGGCCAGTACCGCACGACTGCATCCCTTGCGGCGTCGGTTGGCCCGACGGTACTTCATTCGTTTCTTCGCTTGCAACCAAATGTAGTCGTTGGTACAGTTTAGAATGTGTGCATAGAGAACCAACGTGTTGACGCATTCCTTGCTGCATTTTGAGCATCGGACCGGCGCGGAGTCCGTGGGGTAGCTGGTGAAGGAAGTGGTGTAGTCGTTTCCAGCCGATACGAGCATATCCAGGGCCGAACGGGAGGAGATGGAAGAACCGCTGCTGCTGGCCGTGTTGGCGGAAATGGATAGGAGCGATGAGGAAGAGGTTGTCGTCGAAAACGAGGTAGCTTCGTTCGAGGATGAATCCTCACTTTTGATCTCGGTGATGGTGGCAGCCGATTCGGAAGAGGGTTGCCGAGCTGGTAGGAATCGGCGATCGTACCCAGGATAGGATGATAGGCGTGAGTAGTGGATGCGATGCATTGTCAGAGCCGAGAGAGGGATGAAGAAATGTTTGAAGAGTTCCTTTTCGATGAGTTCGCGGCCGACGATTTCGTAGTACGTTGAGTAGACGTATGGATGGCGGAAGGTTTTATGTTCTTCCATCTGTTTGAGAGAGTTGAACTTGTCTCCACAGCAGTAGCATATGTAGCATCGTGGACGGGCCCACTCGCCACTGAGGACCACTTGCATGAGTCGACTGGAGTCGGGAAGCTTGAGAAGCTGCAGACTGGCAATGAAGTCTTCATCGATTGTGTTGGATACTTGATTTTCCGAGTACTGATCGGAGTATTCGCCGCCCTCCTCGTGGGATTCAGCTTCCAGTTTGATAATACTTTGATCATGTTGTTCGAGATTGATTTGTGGCAACAGACGTGAGTCCAGGATTTGATTAAGTTCATTGACCTGCTTTCGTTGATCCTGGCGAAGGGTATCGCCAACGTCGGACAGGTAGTTTCGCGATTCGCAGATATTCCGGCGATTGCGAATCAATTCGTGCTTGGTTCGCATCGTCAGCTGTGTCCACATGTCAAGCTTGGAGAGGTCTCGCAGTCCGAGAGTGGGTTGTTTGATTTTCTTGACGATTTTACCATTCTCGTTGACGTACTTGTACTTTTTGACAAAATCCCACTTCCATTTCCAGGAATTTTTCGTGATGGGTTTCTTCATTTTGGTCAACGGCATGAGATCGGTTCCGAACTGCTCGACGGTAAGTAGCGTGGGGAAAACTGTCATCGCTGGCAGGTTGGTTGCTTCGTGGATTTTGCATTCCGGCTGGATGGGGCTCTTTACAACGATTGATCGAATCGCCGGGACAGTCGCTACCGGACTCTTCGGGGATGGTGCATTCGGTGTTGGGGCCTCCAGTTTACCGTCCAGATAGCAACTTAGATTCTGTCGGACATTAAAGTTGACGTTTTCGTAGAAATCTTCATCATACGTGCTGATAATGTCGTTTTTGCCACGGGAAACGACGAAATCGGTCTCGGAACTTCCACTCGGATTGTTCAGCGTCGAGCGGATGGTTTTTAGTTTGGTGATTTTGTTGTAGTGATTGTCCGGTTGGGAAGATGACGTCCCGGAGATGGAAGAGGAGCAACTGGCGCTGTCGGTAGCAGGTTTTCGCCGATTTTTGGCGCAGGCCGCTCGTCGACTTTGTCGGGGTGTCCGATGCTGAGCAATCCCAAGCCGAGAAAGCGTCTGTTCTGAGGAACGCATTAGCATTTTGTCGGATTTCTTGAACACCTTCGATTTGGCAGAACCGGCCGCAGCCGTTACGGACCGGGCAGAGGTTCTTCCGGAACTTCTGAGCCGGGTGGAAGAATTTGTAGCTGAACTGGCGGCAATGCCTAGTGCAGCCGAAAGCGAATCTACGGCTTCAATGTTTTCGATTGTGAGATTCTTAATTGCTTCCGTGTCGAAATCTACCTGTATGGTGAGGGGCGTGGTGATAATGTCGCATTTTTTCGTCTTGTTAAGATTGAAACTTTTCAAAGCTGCTTTCGATTTGGGCCTGGTGCGAGTTTCTGAAGCGCTGACGGCAGGTTGATGTAGTGCTTCCATATGGGAGTCTCGTGACTCGTCGCTCGGAAATCGCAGGGCACACGCTTCGCAAGCAAAGTAACGATCGGAATGTTGATCGACCAGGTGTTTGAACAACTGGGAGAGATCTTCCGAGGCAGGATTGAGTACTTTCCCTTTGTTACAATAGCTACAGCTGGGAAATGCTCCATCGCTCACCGTTGGCACCACTCGGCTACTACTTCGACGATCTTTGGGTATTCGGTGAACCCGATCGATATGTTTTGCCATCAGTGTCTGGCTCGCAAAAGTGCGGTCGCAATACAAACACAGCAACTTGTATGTCGGGCTAGGGCTGGTGCTAGTTCCCGACTCACTGTCCGCAGGGCTTTTCAAAATGTTTAGCGCACCCAAGATTGCTTGTAATCGATCCAATGGCAACCGACATATAATCCCAGATTCTGGTTGCTCCTCTCCGGGTGTTCCCGGGGTAACTGATGGCACTTTGAAGACATCCTCACTCGACGATGATTTGATATCCGGAACGGATTCCAAATCTGCCGCCGAGGACAGTGACGATGAAGATGAAGATGAGGATGATGATGATGATGACAGACTGTCATTCCGTATTGAGGTCAAACGTGTTGATGTTCTCCTGTTCGACAGAGGTTGGTGTGGCTGCCGCTTCGAGGTGGGCGTCGTTGCCCCCTTCGCGGGAGTGGAACTGGCCTGTGGCGACTGCCCTTGATCGTCACCGCACTGTTCCAAAACTTCCGGAAGGGGCTGCTGGTCAGCAGCACTCGACGAAGACGGCTGTTGCACCAGCTTCGTCTAAAACGAAAACGGAAAACGGTACAATTTAAAAACTCCATCAGACATACGGAAAAATCGATCGTGACAAAAACAAAAGAAAAAAACTCACCATTTTCCGTGTGTGGTGCTGCTGCTGGTGGTGGTTCTTTCAAGTGGTTCCTCTTTTCTCGCGCTGCTGCTCAGGCGAAATGGGACACCCAACAAGTTCAGCTCATTGCTGCTGCTTCAAGAAATCCTGTTCGGGTTTCACTATTTCAGTTTTTTTCTTCAAGTTCCCCCCACGGCAAGCCTTTTTCACAGCAATTTTCGGGAAGCCAATCCCCCGAAGAGGAAGAAAAATTAAAACAAACACAAATCGATACCAGCAGGAAGACACTGCGCTGAGTTTCACTTTTCCTTTCGTGCTGCTGCTGCTGCAACTTCTCCCCGAACAGACCACACAAAAAAGAGACACCAATTTTCCACCTACTTTCGGGAGCAATTTATGTCCTATTGCTTGCCCCCGGGGCACAATCTTCTACCTTAATCACTTCCACGGCACCTTAACTGCACAATTACGCCAAGAAAACACAGATATTAATCCTGATTTTTGCACTTTTTTCAGATTTTTGTTACGACGGTCGACGACGAGGAAGAGCGAACAACGGTGGCCATCTTGCTTTTTGTGAGCCTGTGTGCGTGCGCGTTTCGACACCCAACAAAAAAAAGTCTCTCCGTTTTGCTCTCGCGCACTCAGCCGAACTGCGGCTCTCGTTCTCGCACTGTTGTCTCTTTTCTCTTGCACGACGACGGGTGTATTTACACACATCGGTCACTTTTGCGCAAACTGGCGGTTGTCAAAAACGGTCTTCTGCACGGTTACAGCGGCACCGTTGATTTTCATCTTGATGTCGGCGCAGCGGTGCCTGAATTCGCGACTGCTAAATCAACCTTTGAAACTCGCGAAGGTGTTTTTATTGTATAGGTTTCTAGCATTAGGTAACCATCCTAACATCTCTGCCGAGTCTTCCGTATAATTATTAATCGTTTATCTAAAATTATATGTTTATTTGATCACTTAGTATGTACAACATATTATTAACTAGCCTACGGCTAAAAATCACAAAAATAAAGAAAAAAAAAAAAAAAAAAACATATTATGTAGATTTTCCGTTACCCTTTTATTGCAAAATAACCTATCGATGTCAAACCAACGTGTATTGCTAAAGAAGTTTGGTTTTGAACATAATAGCATGTTTTTTGTTTAAATAGAATCCGCGTAAATGGACCAATACACAGAATACGGAGTTTGTCATAGATGGTTCCAAGATGGAATATCTCCTTATCCTGACCATACAGAAGGTTTCTGTCTTCAGCAAATGTGTTCAGTGGGTCAAGGACATTTGGTAGGTGCACAGAAGCTCAGCATTTTATCACTACGCGACGCTAATATGTAAGTAAATTTCCTGAATATGCTATATCTTGGGATCCTAGCCATATAGATGGCTACAGCCTTCGGCAAATTTGTTCAGTGGGCAAGGACTTTTCATTGGTGGACGGAAGAGCAGGATTTTCTCACTATGTAGCACTAGTGTGCAAGTGTATTTCCTGAATATGCTATATATTGTGTTCCAGGTCATACAAAGTTACAGTCTTCGGTAAATTTGTTCAGTAGGTTATTGACTATTGGTGGACAGAAGTTTCTCACTACGCGGTGCTAGTGTGCAAGTGTATTTTCTGAATCCAGCATTTTACGAGCACTTATGGCCGCCACAATCTTGCTGAGTTTTTGGTAGGAACATATGATTTGACGTTTGGGTTGTGTCGTTTGACGTGTAAACGTTCAAATTTGAACTCAGCCAGATTGTGGCGGCCATAAGCGATCGTAAAATACTGGATATAGTAAATAGTTATTTAGGTGAAAATACCCATAAAAAAAGGATTTTTTGGCATTAGAGGCATTAAAAAATAATTACTAAACTTGCTCAAACTCAATCAATCAAGCCCGAAACTATACATACTACAAAGCATGAATATTTAATCATCCAACAGTCCATATTTTATTTGTTACCACTAACCTCGAGCACGCCGTGAGGAATCGGTCCTCGCTCTACTAAATTTAGTTTTAAGGTGATTCCTTGTAGAGTCCATAAATGGCCGCCACATAGGCTATAAATGCACTCCTACCCCGAAATTTCAATTACAAAAATCTCGGAAATTAGAGACCCATTTCACCTGAAATTGCTACTGCATGTATGCTGCAGTGCAGCAAACGTACAGTCGCGTAAAGTAACAGTTTCATTGTAGTACGTGTCGTGGAAGCTGATATTTGTGCACTTAAAGTTTCAAAGTGGTAGTGAGAATAAGGAACTCACAGCGAAACACCTTTAGGAATATTGTTATACAAAAACTGAATATCGCGTCCGTAAAGCTACTGCGAATGAGCCTGGACAAATAAGCAAACTATAAAAACAGTCTTCAGGAATGTCAATGCTCAGAATGCTGAGGATGGTTCTTGATCGCCCTTTCGACACTAGAATAATAAATTTACACGAAGAGGCAGGCATTCCCAAAATAGATTCCAGAATTAACAAAGTTAAGACTAAATGTGCAAAAATGAAATATATAAGAACATGCTTTGTTAAGCAATTTGTATAAAGTAGATTAAGTGTATACAGTAGTTGTAGTTGTTAATAGTAGTTATAAGTAGTTTGCTTTTTCCAATTTAAAACAAATCAATCCCACCAAGGTGGTCATTCTCTAAACAAGCCTGATAGGACAAGGAACTCTAATTAATAATAATTGAAATTTCAAAAGAACTAGAGTTGAAAAGACGCATCTGTGTCGCTTGATAACTCATACATGTAAACATTACAAATACAAGAAATAAAGATAAAAAAGGGAATGTTAATGCACAGGAAAATCACACCTTTTTTTTTAACTATTTAGGAGAAAAACCAAAATCTGGACCTATATTTTGTCATTAATCAAATAAGCAAATTGTTTGCACCAATAGTTCTACTATCGGAGCACCGCACACCGCTATATCGCAACATAAAATTCCTCACTCCGGCTTGTGCATTATACATTTTATGCTTCGATTTGTTGACAGCAGGGTGGTAATCTTCTTCCTCCCCAACCCACTCGAAGGGGTGGCGAGAGCATAAAAAAATAAAACACAAAATACCATCCACATGAGAAAAAAATGCACTTTTCTTCCGCGACGAATCGAGTTGGAAATTCACTTCACCTTTTCCGAACCATAACACTCACTTCACCATCAATGTCCACCCGCACCGACTGACCACTTCCGCCGGGAACACACTGGTCCTGTTTTGGTTTTCCTAGATGGCCACTTGATACGGAAAAATGTGAAACATATTTTTCTTTCGTTCTGACCTACCACCGCGCGAGACTGCTCAATCGGGTGAAAAACTCGTTTTTCGTGTGCCTCCAGCGGTGATGTTTCGCTCTCTCTCGCCTTGTCACTTTTCTCTGTGTTGTTTGGAAATATTTCAAATGCACAGTGGGTGGTTCCGTTTGTTATCAGATTGAATGGATTATAAAAACATGTTTTTTTGCCTATATGGAGCAGCGTTTTCGTCAGATTTATCTCTATATTTTATCGGCAGATGGTGAACATTATCTTTACAACTATTTCGCTGTAAAACTCAATGAAAATGTAAATTGAACAGCATTTGAAAATAGAACGAAATATTTCAAAAAAATCAATGTCAGTCAGACATAAATTACCGTTTTGTTCGTTTTTCTCACCATCACCTGTCGTCGACCATCGGCTCACCAGACAGCTCGCAGTCTAACCACGAAAAGTGCCAGAGAAGCACGCACCCTCCATTTGCGGAACGTTCGAACGAGTGAAGCTGCAGAAAAGAGTGCGCGATGGCTTTCGGTGATTATCCGGCGGAGTACAATCCGAAGGTCCATGGACCGTACGACCCAGCCCGCTACTATGGCAAGTCGGAAACCCCCTTCGGACAGGTTAAGCTGAACGAAATCGGTGCCTGGTTCGGCCGTCGGGACAAGAACCCAAAGGCTGTCGCTGGTGCCTTGAGCCGTACCTACTGGAGATGGCAACACAAGTACTGGCAGCCGAAGCGGATGGGAATCGCCCCATTCTTCCAGGTCATCTTCGGCGGAATGGTATTCTTCTATGCCATCAACTACGGTAAGCTGAAGCACCACAGGAACTACAAGTACCATTAAACGGTGCACCAGCAGGAAGAAGCAAGAACCGACCAAAATCATCGTTATGTAAGAACGGCGATTCCTAGCGACGTATGGCTGGATCCGGGGTATGGTTCTGCTTCTGGGAGATAGTGATTAGGCATAAGTTAGCAGATGGATGCTGCCCAGGCGGATATCTGGTAATTTTGTTCGGCAAATGAATTATGTAATTCGCGAAAAATAAAAATGTATCAAAAATTTCGTTTTCCTGTCAAGTGTAAATTCCTGTCCCGCGATGACCGCCCTGTTCGAATTGTGAGTGCCGACGTGAATATTGGAGGAAATTAATAAATATGATTAGTTTTTTTTTTCTATTAATGAAACAACATCGATTTTATTTATATTCTTTGTAGGGGAAGGAAGGGCATAGTAAGCTTCCTGTGCTTTAGATTTCTTATGGTTCGAAACAAAATAATTGGGTTCTTTAAGGGTATTCAGGTAAATGCATATTCGTAATCTGCATTAAAAGTTGAACCCAAACCCAAAACTTCATCAATTTTGGTACACTGAAACTATTTTAAATAAGTACGATTACATTTGCAAAAATCACATTATTAGCGCCCCTCGGTGTCACTTTGTATGGGAGTGAGCTGTCAGTTTGTCTGTTTAGTGTCAAACAGTGAAGTTATTATTTAGCTTTAAATCTTGATTTAAAAATCGAGATGAAAGTGTGTGGGCCGGCGCCGGTGGTGTAGTGGTAAGCGTGACTGCTTTCTAACACCCCAATGGATCTGGGTTCAATCCCAGCCGAGGTCGGTATATAAAGGAAAGGGAAGAAGAAGATAACCTTCCATCTGTCAATTTTTTACCAAAAGTTTAAAAAAACCGCCAGTGTAGTCATGCGTCATGCACTTTCGTGATTGCGCAAGGCCTTATAATTGATTGATTCCCTAATAAAAATTGTATGGTTAATTTGCTTAACGACGTGTTCTGGGTATCATCCAAACCATTTGTGGAATAGTTCAATGATTTGGGTTATCGTTCGTTTATGGTTATTTTTTATTAGGGCACCCATCACACCGGATCCTTTTGAGACGAACTGAGACGGGTTGTACTCACGGAAGAGAATGTAATTGCATTTTTAATTGCATTGATCTGTTCTTATAAATCCTATACTGTTTCGCTAAGGTAATCGTCCGGACCTGACGGAATATTCCCTATAAAGTCCTGTGGATTTTCCATCGAAGTCCATACCAATTGAAACCAATGACTGGCAAGGATACCTAAGGAAAAACGTAGGAGAAAACACTAAAAAATTTATCCCGGAAGGCCCCCCTTGGCAAGACCGCGATTCAAACCAGGCCGACATACAAAACCCATCACTTACCCCCTATGATGTGTTTTTTTTTTCTTTATCGTTCGTTCTGCATAACAACCTGTTAAAACAAAACAAAAATCCTCCGCAGCTTTCACAATATTGTCGCCGTTCTGAGGACAAAAATTCAGTGCGCCGATCGCATTCCGCACCGTACCGTCGTATTGGACGATCTTACAGGCATTTGACCAACCATGGTGTGGAAGAACTTTGTTGGCGTGAAGCTGTTCTGGATGAAACCACGAGCCGCTGGGATTTTTACTACGAATCGGATGAGATAAACAGGCCTATTCTGCGCGGCGTGTGAGGTGAGGTGACTCGCTCTCACTTGTGAGGTGACAATTGTCACTTCACCATCACTTCACCTCACACGCCGCGCAGAATAGCCCTGAAACTTAGCTTCATGGTGCAGACAATCCCCCTTATTCTGCGAGTCACGTGACTCTCTCTCACCGGTGAGGTGACAATAGTCACCTCGTGTGAGGTGACTCTCCATTTGATTTGCATGGAGAGTCACCTCACACGAGGTGACAATTGTCACCTCACCGGTGAGAGAGAGTCACGTGACTCGCAGTATAAGGGGGAATACTCACAGCATTTTTCCTCCGAACCCAATGTGAACCCCAATGGAGTAAACAAAGAAGTCAACCTTAGCAACGATTGGCAAAACGTCAACTCTCGACAGTGAGGCCGGTTTATATTATGTTGATTGTATCCTACTTGTCAACGTTTGTCCTAAAGAACCGAATAGTGCGCCATGCTATGTTTCGGCACAGTGTGCAGAGTTGATTACCCCTTGGCCCGAGCCCTAATAACTGGTACCGTCCGACGGCTCAAAATGTATGATTTTTCATCCAGAAGTAAATGGACATCATGCCATCGACCAACAGGTGGATCTGGCTACATCTGGATACGAGATACCGGTTCCAGCAGGGCCTCAAAAAGACCACTTCCTGATCCTCATGTACTGGTACCGTCTATTTACTTCTGGATGAAAAATCATAAATTTAGAGCCGTCGGACGGTACCACTACATGAGGTTATGGAAGTTTACTTTTGTGCCCTATTGAAACAGATGGCAGGTAACCTAGATGGCCAAATTGGAGAAATAATGGTCAGGGTGCCATTCTAGGAACTTTAATCTTTCATTTGAGGTTCAAAAATTGATTTTTGGGAGTGAGTTGCAGCCTGGGTCGTGCAAATCAAATGGATAGTCATCTCACTCGCGGTGACTTTTGTCACCTCACCTCATTCGCGGCGCAGAATAGGCATCAAGGGTTTTTTTTTTCGTTTTCCGCAGTGAGTTACCAGATCCACGTTGACATTATTCAGTGATTGTTGGCACATTTTGTTAGGAATTTAAATTACTAAAGAAGAGTCAGATCTCACCGCAGGTGGATAAATGTGGGATTATTTTTTATTAGAATCGATCGAAGCAGTCGCCGGAACGTTCTCTATACACTTCCAACAAAAGCACCTCGCCGTCATTTGATTTAAATATACTTTGTTGTATTATTTCATATTACTAAACTTTACTATTTTCCCTATGACTTATTTTTCATGTTTTTCTTTCTTTTGTTATCGATTCTTGTTTTCTGTCGTTATATCAAAGAGATGGATCCAGATGTTTCAATTTTGCTGCTTTCCGTCCGCGTTCGTCCGTTCGTCAGTCTCGTCCGTCTTGGTCGGTCTATCTTCCGCCGTTTTTTTTTTTGTATTCACAGTTATGATTCTCTACTTTTAGTACATTTCGTTAAGTTAGATTACTTTGATTTCCCGATATTTTTGTTTGTTTAGTTTTATCTGCATGCAAGATTACCAAGGTTATTCAGAAAAAAAAAGTTACATCTGCTCCAACGACGACGAATTGAACGTACGTCAAGCGCTGCTTAAAAACTGTGTTCTCTTCGCGTTGCTCTGATGTTTTTTTTTCAATCATTTGTCAACTTTTGTTTATTTAATTGATTTTACGCTTTTACTTTGTCTTAATAGTAACTTATAGAGTAATGAAATATACATGAATATTAGACTACTTTTTAGCATTTTTTGTATTTTACTTGTTTTTTCTCTAGAAAGTGCTTCTAACGTGTATCAGTTTCATTTTCAACTTGTTTCTTCTTCTTTTTTGTTGCATGTATCCTCTTTATTCTTTTTTTTTGTTTACCTAAACAGTTCGCGGAAGAGTGCCTTTCACCGTCATCCGTGTGAGGCCCTATAAAAGTGTGTAGTAGTATTGTAGAGATATTGCCGACGACGTCCTCTTCCCGGCATGAATGCAGTTCGTATAGAGACAGATGGGGAGATGCGGGGGCTGATTATAACTATTTTTCAATATATGCTACTGAATGATTTTTTTTTTTCAACATCGGGTGCAATATTTTTATTTGATTTTTTTTTAGAAAACATTAAACAAGTTTTGATCAAATATCTGATAGGTTACATTTTTTTTTGAGAAAAGAGAACATAAACTTGACCTTCCATTTTATCTTTCATATAAATATAATAATAATAACAGTTTAAAATCATATCCTTTGATGATTCGTACGATTTGCTTTATATCTTCAGTCATCCTAGAAATTCCCAACGGTTATGTGTAAAAGTGTGTGTGTGAATCTCTCTGCGCAATTTATTAGTGTATGTGTGTGTGTGAATGGGGGGAGGCTATCATGATGAATGTATGCTTATGTGATTCAGCTTCTTTCTCCTTGCATCCTTCTGTCGACTCGCGGATATCCGAGCAGGGTTGTTTCTAAAAAATCCCTTCTACATTTTTTATACATGGATGTGTTTATGTTTGTCCGACTGTTAATTTGTTGTTGATGTTTTAGCTTTGTATCAATCAGTTTTGTATTGCAGTGTATAACATGCATCCCAGTTAGGTATTTTTTTAAATTTTCTTCTTTGATCTTCCTTTAAAAAGAAAGGATGATTCCTAGTTTATTTTTTTTGCAGGGCTTTCTATATTTTTTTATATAAATTTAACTTTTTATTTAATAGCGCTATAGATCATCGGACATAAAAGAGTTTTCCGACTTTAGCTCTTCTAGTCTACGAATTTGTTGCCGTAGATACATGATTCTGGAATAGCAAAAAAAAAAAGACAGATATGCGATGTAGAATAAAATATACAGTGTTGTTCAACTGATAATCTTCAGTAACATCTCTTAGACTATTTGCGGTAAAATATTCTCCACTATTAGAGAAACTGTATATTGACAGCAAATATATCATATTAACAATATGATCCATTCTGCATTCCCCATACATGGCAATAGCGAAACAAAAAATATTGATTCACGCACCATCTAACGTTGAATAAGGTCAGTAGCAATTACAATCTAGGTGCTTTATTACAAAAATAAAAGTCAAATTATTTGCATTAATTACATTTAGCACATGTAAATTTGTCACTATTGTCATCAAATAAAATTATATGCTGGAATACGCACATTTAAAATATTATACAATTTTTCATTTGGTGTATCCCTTGTGAAGATAAACAAATACGTTAGTAGCCTTTTTGGCCACACAAAAGTACGTTGGCTTTGTTACTTCTTGTACTTGAAAAAGTTTGCCAGGCCTGGATGTCAAAAAATGGTTTAGGAAATTTTTCAAGCTCGACAAAAGGCGCATTCATCGCTAAAAATTCGGTTCGCCAGCTAAGTGGATCATATTGTTAATATAACACATTTTAACTAATCATGTTTGTATTACTTCATGCGCGAAGGTAACAGATTTACATAGTTGGAGATGTCTAACGTCAAATATCAGGCTTAAAGTGGTCATTTTATACGATAGATGAGGAGATGAAAGTATAGAGTTGATAGTTCCGTTAAAGTACAGCATTGTAAAAATTGTGTGTGTGTGTGTGAAACCTGTCTGCATCTATCCTATATCATAGGTGCAAACATTTTTAGCCCATGAGATGGAAGGTGACAGCTCTATTGTACATCCAGTGACCTATTTCAAGAATGCCCTGTTCCTACACGAAGTACAGCAGTGTAAAAATTGTATACAGAAAATAGAAAGCGAGCAAAGATCAATTTTGAGGAAGGCACGAATCGAGTTGATCGGGGGGAGATGCCCCTCACCATATCTCTCCAACAGGGGAGTTTGGTAAAAGCGGTGATCAATCCGATTCATACCTTTCTCAAAATTGACATTTGCTCGCTTTATATTCTCTAGATAGGGGAAAAGTTGGCTTCGGCAATACCTTAACCTATTATCGTCAGGGGGGTAAACAAAGTCCTAGAGCACTCAAATTTGGCCAATAGTTGCTCTGAAACACAATGTATCCACATGCCAAAATTGAGCTCTCAAGGACGTTGTTTACCCCCTGACGATAATAGGTTAAAGTATTGCCGAAGCCAACTTTTCCCCTAGGTCATTCCATCTCAAGTGACCGAGTAAATTTGCAAAATTGCATCGACCCTCTCCGATTTGAACCAAACTTGGTGGAATAACTTATTATGGACCAATATTGGCAAATCCAAAGTCTTAATCCAATCGACCTACCCCCCGCCGCTGGAGACCACCCCTTTTTTGTCGATTTATAATAAACACCAGTTATCAATGTTATATATCTCTGCAACCTGGTCTCTGGTCGGTAAATGCTGGGTAATGCGCAGTACAGATCCCATTGAGATCACTAACCTCTTCCCAGCAACTCCTATCCCTACCTCCCCGTGGTACCGGCCGGGAACTGTGAGCAACCTTAGGGAAGATCGTGTAACCAACCCCGGTGAGAACTTTGGTCATAGGCTGACAGGGAAGGGGGGGGGGGGGGGTTTGCTTCGGCAAGCCTGAGCGTCTGTTTTCCAGGAGGAGCGGCTCACAACAGTATCTGTTCCCCATGTTAGGGGCGGCTGATCTATGTTCGAGTACCAGTGAAGGATTCTAAGCACAACTGTGCACCCTGGTCCTCCGGAAAGTTAGGGGGTTGGTGTCAGGCCCTGCGAGCCAGCCGTAAAAAAAGCATTGCAACGGAAAATCAGCAACAGAGGAATACGAACCGAGACCAACGGCAACGACCCCAGCGACGAAATAGGACTTGCGATTGGAAACTCGGCACGTGGAACTGTCCATCTCTCAATTTCATCGGGAGCACCCGAATATTCGCCAATCTACTGAAGGACCGCGGATTCGGCATCGTAGCGCTGCAGGAGGTGTGTTGGACAGGATCCATTGTGCGAACGTTTAGAGGTAATCATACCATCTACCAGAGTTGCGGCAACACACGCGAGCCGGGCACAGCTTTCATCGTGATGGGCGAAATGCAGAAGCGCGTGATCGGTTGGTGATCAATCGACGAAAGAATGTGTAGGTTGAGGATCGAGGGCCGATTCTTCAACTTTAGCATAATCAACGTGCACAGCCCTCACTCCGGAAGCACTGATGATGAGAAGGACGCATTTTACGCGCAGTTCGCAGCCACGACGTCAAGATCATCATAGGAGACCTAAACGCTCAGGTAGGCCAAAAGGAGGAATTCAGACCGACGATTGGAAAGTTCAGCGCCCACCAGCTGACGAACGGGAACGGCCTACGACTCATCGATTTCGCCGCCTCCAAGAACATGGCCATACGTAGCACCTTTTTCTAACACAGCCTCCCCACCTGGAGATCACCACAGCAGACGGAATCGCAAATCGACCACGTTCTGATTGATGGACGGCACTTCTCCGACATCATCGACGTCAGGACCTATCGTGGCGCTAACATCGACTCTGACCACTACCTGATGATGGTAAAACTGCGCCCAAAACTTTCCGTCATCAACAATGTACGATACCGACGCCCGCCACGGTACAACCTAGAGCGACTGAAGCAACCGGATGTCGCCTTAGCATACGCGCAGAGGTGGGCGAGCTCGATGTGTCCCCTCTAGAGTACAGTAAAAGCAGCCATCACCGACGCAGCCGAGAGCACCATCGGGTAAGTGGAAAGAAGTCGCCGGAATGAATGGTTCGACGAGGAGTGCAGAGCGATTTTGGAGGAGAAGAACGCAGCGCGGGCGATAATGCTGCAGCATGGAACCCGACAGAACGTGGAACGGTATAAACAGAAGCGGAAACAGCAGACCCGCATCTTTCGGGAGAAAAAACGCCACCTGAAAGAAGCGGAGTGCGAGGAAATGGAACTGCTGTCCCGTTCCCAAGAAACACGGAAGTTCTACCAGAAGCTCAACGCATCCCGCAACGGCTTAGTGCCGCGAGCCGAAATGTGCAAGGATAAGAACGGGAGCCTCTTGACGGACGGACGTGAGGTGATTGAAAGGTGGAAGCAGCGCAATGGAGGAAACGACTACGTCAGTGCAGCAGAGGACGGAACTGATCCAACTCCTACGCTGAAGGAAGTTAAGGATGCCATTCAGCACCTCAAAAACAACAAAGCAGCTGGTAAGGATGGTATCGCAGCCGAACTCATCATGATGGGCCCAGAAAAGTTGGCCACCTGCCTGCACCGGATGATAGTCAGGATCTGGGAAACAGAACAGCTACCGGAGGAGTGGAAGGAGGGGGTAATCTGCCCCATTCACAAGAAAGGCGACCATTTGGAATGTGAGAACTTCAGAGCGATCGCCATTTTGAATGCCGCCTACAAAGTGCTATCCCAGATCATCTTCCGTCGTCTATCACCTAAAATGACCGAGTTCGTTGGAAGTTATCAAGCCGGCTTCATCGACGGCCGATCGATAACGAACCAGATCTTCACCGTACGGCAAATCCTCCATAAATGCCGTGAATACCAGGTCCCAACGCATCATTTGTTCATCGAATTTAAGGCGGCATACGACAGTATCGACCGCACAGAGCTATGGAAAATCATGGACGAGAACGGCTATCCTGGGAAGCTGATCAGACTGATCAAAGCAACTATGGACGGTGTGCAAAACTGCGTAAGGGTTTCGGGTGAACTATCCAGTTCATTAAAATCTCGCCGGGGACTGCGACAAGGTGACGGACTCTCATGCCTACTCTTCAACATCGCTCTAGAAGGTGTAATACGACGAGCCGGGCTCAACAGCCGGGGTACGATTTTCACGAAATCCGGTCAATTTGTGAGCTTTGCGGACGACATGGACATTATCGCAAGAACATTTGGAACGGTGGCAGAACTATACACCCGCCTGAAACACGAAGCAGCAAAGGTCGGACTGGTGGTGAATGCGTCAAAAACAAAGTACATGCTAGTAGGCGGAACCGAACATGACGGGATTCGTCTAGGAAGTAATGTCACGATAGACGGGGATACTTTCGGGGTAGTGGAGGAATTCGTTTACCTTGGATCCTTACTGACGGCTGGCAACAATGTGAGTCGTGAAATACGAAGGCGCATCATCAGTGGAAGTCGTGCCTACTACGGGCTCCAGAAGAAACTACGGTCAAAAAAGATACACCCCCGCACCAAATGTACCATTTACAGAACGCTAATAAAACCGGTGGTCCTCTATGGACACGAGACATGGACTATGCTCGAGGAGGACCTGCAAGCACTCGGAATTTTCGAGCGACGTGTGCTAATGAGAACGGTGAGTGGCGGCGAAGAATGAACCACGAGCTCGCTGCACTCTACGGCGAACCCAGCATCCAGAAGGTGGCCAAAGCCGGAAGGATGCGGTGGGCAGCGCATGTTGCAAGAATGCCGGACAACAACCCTGCAATGTTGGTGTTCCATACTGATCCAGTTGGCACAAGAAGGCGTGGAGCGCAGAGAGCACGATGGACGGATCAGGTAGAGCGTGATCTAGCGAGCATTGGGCATGACCGAGAATTGTGGCGTACTATTGTTGATTATGTCTTATCTTAAATGTGATGTTGTACAAATAAATGTATGTATGTATCTCTGCAACCTGGTTCAGTGACCACCTTGATCGACTCATATTCTCGCTTATTAGCCCCACTTTTCCCTAGTTGCAGACAATCGAAATTTATTGCAACCCAGGGCTGGTAGTAGGTAGGGGAAGGAGGGGCATAGTGAACAGGTGGGGCATAGTGGGCATCCCGCAGTTTGGTCCTGGATCTCTAACTGCATGTAACAAATCAACTGGTAGTAGGTTCAATATCATTATGATATTGATCATACTACCAACCAATTTGTTCCGAACGGCCGGAAGTCCAAGTTGATGCACGGGATGCTCACTATGCCCCACATGTTCACTATGCCCCTCTTACCCCTATATGTGATATAATAGTAGTGACTATTACATTGAAAACATTTTATGGTCTTGAACATAGCATTTGCCCCTGGAAATGTTTTGATTCCGGATTACAAGTCCGGATATTTTTCAAATTCCTGACCTTTTGAAAAAAATGTCGAGAGCTTGATAAACCATTTTTTGGCATCCTAGGCCTGGCAAACTTTAAGGATCAAGATGTAACAAAGCCAACGTTACACGGAGATGAAAAACTACCCAAAATTAAGTACTTTTCACTCAATTCCGGGGTTCAGCCCAATAGCCCAAATTTGAGTAAATCTCATATATTAGTTTCACCAGCAAAAAAAAACCTACTCTTAAGTATATTCTACCCAAAATTAAGTTTAATTTACGTAAATTTGAGTAGGTATATGCAATTCACTCAAAAGTATCTTATTGGACTAAACTATATCGTTGGGTCGAATCTCTCGTTCCTTTTTTGTTTACACACTGATTTGTAATTAATCTTTCTAACACAAATTTGTGACCAAATTCAGCTCTGATGTGAGTTTTTAAAGGCAAATTCTTTACTCTGAACATTGGTCATAAAAAAGTGACTTTTTTTGTGACTCACTTGAAAATAGTGACCTAGTCACTAACAAGTTACCTACTACCAGCCCTGGCAACCAATTTCAATGCCAGTGAACAATTTTTAACGTTTAACATTGTTCAACCGTCAAATTAAAGTAAATTTTTATTTCTGAACATGAAAGAAAAACTTGATACTCACTTCTGTTCTTGCAGCGTCGCCGTGATTTCCGTTATTCTAACTACACTCCTAGCACATTTTAAATCTGCCGATACTTTGCTGCACTGTAGATCACCGAGAATGTGGGCCTCCTCCGACATTTTCTGGACCTGAAACGGAGAAAAGAATACAGCCGCACAAGCCAGCTAGCTCGCATTAGTTGAATTACACGATTGATTATATGGTATCGGGAGATTTCAGTGGTGAAAAGCCGTCTTACCGTCTTTTCCAGTATTTCCGACGGCCATCCCGTCACGTGGGATATCAAATCGGCACGGAAGTACTTTGCTAAACTGGGCGTCAGATTCGGTCCTTGAGATCGGCCACTCTGGGACGAGGTCATCACTCCCTGCAGACTGCTCACGGCACTTGTCGTAGTCGTGCTCGTACCTTCCACTGTAAATTCACGGTTCAATGTGTAATGTGAATGTAACCTAGATGGCAAAAAACAGGTGTAGGTACTTACTCTTCCGATGATCCGGTAACACCAGGTCCATCTCTTGGGTGGGCGTGGGAGGACCATCCCCGCTGAGTAGCTGACTGCTATTGCTGCCCCCGCTCAGGTTCGCCGCCGAGGTGGACGAGTTCAGATTGTTGGACTGATGGTTGCTGTGATTATGCAGCCCACTGCCACCGCACGACATCGGCGTCGAAGGATGCGACAGGTTGGAAACATTATACAACGGTGAATTCAGTGCGTGTTCCCTGTGTGGAAAAATGGAATAAAATTAATTTTCTGGACAAAGTTAAATTGAAAACCGACACTAAACTGAAACAAAATCCATTGGAAAAAAATTCCTTTAAATCAAATACCTTCACCAATAGATTTTTGCAGAAAACAATTTCATTTAATTTTACAATTATGTATTTCTATCAAAATTACTATGCATTTTGAGCAAGCAGAGTAGTTTTGCCAGAATGATAGTAAATTTGTGAACATTCATAGTCAACTATACTGAATTCATAGTAGATTTAACGGCAATAAGCGTGAGTATATTAAAAATAAGTGTTTTCTGCAAAATAGCATTCCTAACTAAGGTCCTTGTTTCAGTATACTTTCTATCGCCCAACCGCTGTATTTGCACAGCGGTACGAGCTGGCAGCAATCGGGACTACACACAGCATGATCGATCAACTATGTCACTCGTCCGTCAAAGTGGCGGCTTGTCAAGTGACAACACGAAAAAATGTTTGTTTATCCGCTAGTTTGTGATAATTTTCCAATTTTCACCCAATTTACATTGAAAATCGAAAAAGTTACCAGTGAAAATGAACTGCATCATCACCGGACGGAACATGAAGAGTAAGTACAATTTTCGTTCGTTCTGTAGACGCTTGCAAGAGCCTAACCTAAAACACACAATCTTCCGTGTCAGTTCTCGCTCGAACGGTAAACTTCTTCTCAAAAATCGGGAATGAGCTCTACTTGGAAGCGCTTCCGACGGGATTGTCGCTCAAAGCCATCAACTCAATCAACACCGCCTACGTGATGGCCAACTTCAGTACGAAGTACTTCATCAGCTTCCGGCAGGGAGCGAACGATCGGTTCGAGGAAAACAACTGCAAAGTATCCATCAAACCGATGTTGAAAATCTTCAAACGCTTGGCAACGATTCAGGTTTGCAAGATCTGGCTGCAGGTCGATCGAAAGAAGATCATTTTCCAGTTCCAGTGTAAGTCGGACATTCTGAAAACACACATCATTCCACTGCTGGAACATGAACACATCAATTCGTTGCGATTGCCCGAGACATTCGCTAATAAGGTGGTCGGGGATCACAAAGTATTCAACCGGATATTGATGCACTTTCATAGAACGGTTAAGGAAGTCAATTTCGATGTTAAAACTGATGAAACAATTGTTTCTAACTACATTGAAAACACCAGCAAGGACCGAACAACTATGAGATCCACTTTATCGATTGGATGCTCAGCGTTTAAATTATACGATTTGGAATCTCCTTCCAACATAACATTCTGCTACAAGGAATTCAAAGCTATGGCTCATTACGCTGAACACAATCGGATGATAGTGGACATGAATTTCGACCAGGCAGGGGGCCCTCTTATGATCCGGATGAAGAAAGATGATGTTCTGCAGATTCGGTTCATAATGGGAACGATGAGACCACGGTTGGAAAAGCAGAACAGAAGCGTCCAGCGAGCGAACAGAAAGCTAACGGATCAGCTGGGAGAGAAGAAGGGGACAACCGTTAGGACCACCGATAGCGAACGTATCGACACTTGCCGTACTTCGATCAGTCAGGTTTGTTTGGCAGTTTGTCTGCATTTTACAAATTAATTTTATCATTTCTTTTCACCTCCAACAGGCTAGCGATCAAACGGAAATGTCTGAGATGGAATCCAGAAATAGTTGTTTGCGAGGTGATGATACACGCCATCGAACGGGGCTGGAAACGGTACAACACGAACAGACTCCGAATGCAAGAAGAAGTGAAGCACCTTCCAGAATGAATTCCAAACCCAACCAAGAACCATTCCTCGAGGGCTTACACAGCCTCTCAACACCAGCATCCATCGAAAATATCGATCACCCTCCAGCGGCGGTCCCACTGCCAAACAATCCACCTCTGCGAACGGAAGATGATCCACACTCGTATGACGTCGTCTTTGCAGGTAATTCTGATGATCCGAATTCTGAAAGCCAGAACCTGCTGGCAGCAGCAACACCGACCTCCAGTAAACGAAGGACCGATTCCCAAAAGCAACACCCAAAGGCAAAACGACCCAACTTGACGCATCTGCGCTCGGAAGCTCTCTTCACCGGAGACGCACAGCCTCCTGTTCCTTCGACGTCGTCCCGTGTTTCGTTGAATATTCCCGAAACGGTGCCCGAGTCGCCGGAAGCCGTTGCCGATCGGAAGCGGAAAAAGGAAAAATTACGGGACATTTTCCGCAAGTGCTTTGAAAATACGTTCGATCCCCGCAAGATCAGCACCAGTGTGGAGTTCTATGCCGAGAATTCCGATCCGGAGGATAATTGAAAACAAATATTATATCATTACACAAGTGTACGTTCATTAAAGTTTACTGTAACCGATAATTGGAATGTTTTATGATTCAATTCGAATTTCTGTTCAGCATTTAGTTGGAGCTCTTCTCTGAATTCATTTGGAACTCTCCTCAGAATTTGGCAACTGTCCACGGCCCATACAAATTATAAAATTTTTGTATGGACAATTGTCTACGAAGGGGGGGGGGGGGGGGGTCATGAATAAAAAAAAAAAAAAACTGTCTACGTAGTTAATGAACGTGTAAACAAAAACAAGAAAGGAAAATTTGCTTTCCAGGAGAAGTCGTTAGAAATTTTCGGGCAATGTTTGAACTAGTTTCTGGAGGAAGCCGATAAAACCTCCAGCGGAAGAATAAATTAGTGCTTCTGGAGAAAGTTTAAAGAAAGTTCTAAGAGAAGTCGGAAAAACTTCCGGGGAACTTCCAAGACAAATATTGAGAAACTTCTAGTGACAATTTGAAGAAGCTTTCGGAAGCAGAGGAAGCCAAACAAGATTCGGAAATCTGAAACAAATTCCAGGAGTAGCCATTTCTAGGGAAAGCCAAAAGAAACTCAGAAAAACCTTCCAATAGAAGCCGAAAAAAACCTACAGAGAATGGCTTATGGAGAAAGATCCAGAGGAAGACGAACGGAATTTCTGGGAGATACAATTGGTAGAAGTTTAATTAAACTTCCTGGAGAAGACGGAAGAAACTTCCTGGAGACGCTGGAAGAAACTTCCTAATAGTGCGTTCAGACTATAGCTGATACAGAGCTGCCAGGTGGTTTTATAAAAAATCTGTATCCACTCTATTAAAAAATCTGTATTTTCTGTATTGACGATTTTTTTCTTAATTAATCATGTTTTGTTGTTTTACAAATACAGTGCATACAAAATAACCATAAAAAGTGCTTAACCACCTATTCGGGCTATCGTACTAACCATACGGGATATAATTGCGCCATTTGTGATATCGTCCGTACTTATTTATAAGAGTGATATGAAGCCGTTTGAAAATGTATGGAGATTTTAGTTTCTATTCATTATCTTCCTGATAAGCAGTTTTAAATGCAAAAAAGTGCACGAGTTCATTACTATTTGATATTTTTAATATAGATGAATACAATTAATTACATCATTTGTGTGGTAGTTACACCGAAAAGTCGAGAGATATCGCCCCGCCAGTGCTGGTAAAATCATTTTTGCAGTATGGAGAATATCAGAAAATCCGCAATTTCTTACGAAATACATTTTCAATACAAATAAAATGTTTACGAGTACTTGTATTTGTACCATTTTAATGTGCTCGGGCACTTTTCTTGTATTTAACATACATGCTTATATTGGAAATATTCGATTAATACTGTAAATCCCCATACAATCTCAAATCGTTTACTACCAGCTCCATATGCATCCGAAAGCGGTTGATCCTCTGGTTGTGAATGCTGTCAAAAACACCATAACATTCATTTTATAAAAATCTGTATAAATCTGTATTGTAATTTAAAAATCTGTGATAAATCTGTATTCTGTATCGGGTCTGTATTAAGATTAAAAAATCTGTATAATACAGATAAATCTGTATAAATGGCAGCGCTGAGCTGATATCATGTAATATACAGTCATACCTACGATTTCCGGTGAAAATTTGACGTATGAGTGCTCATTGCACGAAAGCCTATATTACATCTGAACGTACTATAAGGTAGATTGGAAGAAACTTCTGGAGAAAGTCGGAAGACATAGGGCTTACGGATCAGTCGAAAGAAACATCAAGGAGAAGTTGGGGAAAAAATCCGGATGAAACAGATATCTTGGGGATGTTTGCGCAACACTCCCTGAAGTTCTTACATGTTCTAATGATCCTGAGTAATTTTCCTTATTTTTTATAAAACATCCCTGAAGACCCAACAGTGCCCCTGAAGTTTCCTGAACATTCCTGAAATGCACTTCGGAACAGTGGCGTCGCCCTAACCTCAATCTACCTGTTCAACAACTCTCAACACGTAACCAAACAAAACAATATTGGATCAAATGGATACAAATCAGTGAAACTAGAATACCCTGTGCCTTTTGAAACGGATATGAATGTAAACATGACCCTAAATAACATTTTCAAAGTTGTTGAACAGGTAAAAAGTGAGGTTACGCGACGCCACTGCTTCGGAATATCACTTAATTCCTCGGAACTCCTTGAAAGTTCTTGCAATTTTCTTAAAGTTATGGAGCTGTTTTGAAGTTCTCTGATCATCCTCAAGGTACTCGGAACTTCCTTGATTATAATGAAACTACTAGAAAAAAATCTCTTATCTTCTTTGAAGGACTTCTTAAGTGCTCTGACAGTATTTTTGAAATGAATGGAACGTCAGCAATGACATTCTCTGATCTTCTCAATTTTTTAAATGTTTAAAAGTTGTAGGAACTTCCCTTAATATGATCGCACAATTTTATAATCTTCATTTGACTTCTCTTACGTTTCTAAAATTTTCATAAACCCGGAACTCGTTTAAAGGTTCATCAATTTCCTTTAAATTAATTGCTTCCTTAAGTTATCTGAATTCTCCCGGAAAAAAATGCAACAGTCCTGAAAACCATTAAATTTTCCTGAAGTGCTTTGCACTTGTGAAGTTTCCAAAATTATACACTATCCTGAAATTCCCGGTGTTCTCGAATTTTAACAGAATTTAATGCAACTTTCTTTAATTCATCGGAACTTACCCTGACAGATCTTTAAACTTATTCCAAAAGTCTAGAGTATTCTGAAGATTCAATACTTTTTAAAAGTTCCTGCAGGTTTCCTGAAGCAAACATGGAGCCGCAATAAAACACTTTAAGCATGAAGTTCCGGGGAAATTGAAAAAAAAAAATTGGCGATAGAAGATGGAAGAACCTTTCGAGCGAAGTCAAAAGAAACTTCCAAGGGATGTCGAAATAACTTTCTCGTAGGAATCGGAAAATAACATACGGGGTAAGTTCCTGGTTAGCCAAAAACGGCAAGGAAATGGAAACATTAGTCTAAAGAGTATCAAGTATAAGAAGTTCCTGAAGAATAATGTTTTGAGCAGGCTTTAAAAACATGAGATATTCAAAAAGGTAAAAATCTCTCACAATGGTTTTCTCGAACAGTTCAGCGTGGACAGGCAATCATTTTGATTATTTAAAAAATCGGTATTCTGAGAAACCATATCTGTATATCGGTATCAAGTTCGAAAATCGATACATCTAGCAACGTTAACAGAGATCTCGTGAACTCCAATTGTCCAGAAGGCAGAACGCCAGCAGCAAGAAACGAAAAAGAGCGGAGGCGGAGCACCGAAACAAATGCTGAGGAAATCCGACCGAAGCACCAGCGCGACGCGACAGCAACTGAACTACGTGAAACAATCTTTTGTCATCGAATTTTCACAATATTCTTCATTAGATGATTATCAATTGAATGATCGGTTAACACTATTTAAAACGAATACTCTATTGCTTTAGTAAAAGTCGAAAAGCACGCGGAAAACAACAAAATCTGCGGATAGCGAAAGCAAAACGCTACTTACAGATTTTGGTCATTTCATATAGGTTAAATGACGGCTTCGGTAATATCTTATTCTATTATCGTCAGGGGGTAAGCAACATCATTGAGAGCTCAATTTTGGCATGTGGATACATTGTGTTTCAAAGCATCTATTGGCCAAATTTGAGTGCTCTGAGACTTTGTTTACCCCTTGACGATAGTAGGCCGAAGCCGACATTTCCCCCACAAATATGAAAGAAAATCCAAGGAATGTTCTGTGTAATATATGTTTGATTTTCGAGAAATTGAAAATTGATTTCATATTATTGCTTAATTATCAATTCCTTTTACTGCCATGAAAATACATTTTTGAGAATAGGGGGTTTACCATTTAACTTTCATGATTTCAATTTTCTCTTCAAAACTAACATTTAAAGGAATGAAAAATTTGCGTTCCCGATTGAACAATGGCCATCCTGATTGTCCCATTAGTATATGATCCTCTGTTGGACTTACATACATGGAATTCATTGCTTCAATCGGAAGGGGAATGTTTTTTATGATGGGATTAAAAACGAATGCTTTTTATGCTAGTCAGATGAGATGAATTCCTACTCAAGCGGAGCACCCGGAACAAACCGGAAAAGCACCAATAGAATGAAATACAGAAGGTACTACATATGCTGGTGTGGTGGAATCAGTCAGAAACCGATCGGTGTTCAAGTCTAACCCATGTCAGTTGTGTCCAGTGATCAAGCCGTTCGACGATGTCAATCGAAAACCGTCCAATGTTAACGCCTTTATCGATGTCCGCCGGAGACCGTCCGATTTTCAAACCGTGTCCGATATCCATAGTAGCCCGTGCGGTGTTCAAACCTAGCCTAAGTATATGTTAGCCAGGATTGTGCTACATTTCCCCGAATGTCGTTTCCCCGAATGTCACTTCCCCGAACGCCATTTCCCCGAATGTGCCATTTCCCCGAAAAAAAAAGTTGGGAAATTTCCAACCGTTATTGCTGGCAATTTTCTTACTATATTTTGAGCATAGTGAGCAGATTGCAAACCAGATTAAATTTCAAGCCATGCAAATGGAATGTTTATGAGATTAACCCAGCTACCAATTAATTTGCTTCGAGTAGCTAGAAACGCATTGCCAAAGCACATGATGCTGACTATGCCCCGCTTTCCCCTATATTAATGTATTGAGCCGTTAAAAGCATTTTCATTTTTATATATAGAATAATAATCCAAAACCAAAAAGACAGACCAAAACCAAAGAGCACCAAAAATTTGGCAAAATATCGTCGGTTTGACAAATTGATTATAAATTTTAAGGAGGTTTTGCCTTCTTTTATTTACGAGCAATTCTTTCGAGAACTTTGGAAAAACATGAGAGATCGATGGTTTGACAAAATGGTAAAATATGTTTATTCCTACTTTTTTACATAAGCAGTTCTTTCGGGAAATTTAGCAAAACTTGTTTCGGAAATTATTGCAATCAAATGTCAACAGGTGACAGTAATAAACAGAAGTTATGGCGATTTGTTTTGTACGCAGAAAGT